TATTTTCAGAAAAAATGAAACAAAAATTCTAATATATTACTCAAAAGAAGTTAAAGACCACCCAATTTTCTTACATCACCATACCTAATCTGTCATGGCACAGACTTCCTTTTTCAGGGTGTTCCTTAACTTGTTTTGTGTGGTATATATCACACTGTTATGACCTTAAAAAACTAGACTCGACCCAGTAAAAAACATGTTGCCTAAAACCAAGTTTTAATTATTTGTCTAATACAAAATATACAACTATTTCTTGTACTTAATGTCAAATCGTAAAATAACATTATTTGACTGATTAAAAATCTGGTATCTACCTTTTACCTACGTTCAAACAGTAGGAAAAAATATTGCTCTATAATGTCCAGTTTGTACAAGTAAATTCTTGAAAAATCTCAAAATGAGAAATATTTGTGACATCATTTGATTATGGCATTATTTAGAATAATACTGAACTAATGGGTTAACATTATCTCACCATTAAAACAAACATACTTAATCCAACAGGAACAAGCTCAGGAGTCGAGAGGCATGGAGACTCGGAAGTCTGTAATGTGATCAGCCTCACAATCAACATTTTGTCTTTCTTCTGAGCATCATCCAGATCAAAATGCATCCAGACACTCGACTATACTGCTCAAAAGAAAATAAGGACCACCCAATCCTTTCATATTTCCACAGTTAGTCAGTGAGTTGGGTTTAACGCCGCTTTTAACAGTATTCCAGTTATATCTCAGCACGGGTATGGTGCTGACAAACCTAGAAACATAATCAGGGCGAACCGAGATATGAACCCACAATTATAGGTTTCTGGAGGTCCAAGGGACTCTGCACAGCGAATCGCGGCGCCTTAGACGACTGGGCCACCCGTGCCCTCTCAGGCCATAGAGACTGAGTACAGTAATATATAAGAACTGGGTGGTCCTTAACTTCTTTCAAGCAGTATATTTCCCTTCCATGTCTACAACACTGGTGTGAGAGAAGTGGTCTGATACCCTCTCGTAGTCGTCGAGTTCATCTAATATGTGTCAGAGGACTACAATAGATGCAGGTCATGTAGAGATATATATAGATGTCACTAAAAATCGAAAAAGCAGATATAAAATCAAATCTGACAATCACTATTCCTTAGATTCCACCAAATGCAAACTCATGTGTTTACCCCAAAATGTGACACTGCCAGATTGATGTACTTCAGGTAAGCATGACACTGCCAGATCCATGTAGATCAGGTGACACTGCCAGATTGATGTCGATCAGGTGACACTGCCAGATTCATGTCAATGAGGTAAACGTGACACTGCCAGATCGATGTAGATCAGGTAAACGTGACACTGCCAGATCGATGTAGATCGAGTAAACGTGACACTGCCAGATCCATGTAGATCAGGTAAACATGACACTGCCAGATCCATGTAGATCAGGTAAACATGACACTGCCAGATCCATGTAGATAAGGTTTGTAGATGTGAAAATAAGAGAATAACTCTGTTGATCTGATTCCAAATTGTTTACATCCACCGTGAGCTGAGCCTAGATTCTCATGGAGACCACAAGGCCACAGCTCACTTCAAGGGTGTTATCTCCTTGTATCCCCCCCCGACACTGGGCTTGTATCTGTTGGATCACAGTACTTGGATTGTCTTGGATTACATCTATAGTCACATAACACACTACTCAATGATTGATAGCAATATTCTGATTGTCCGACATGGGACTAAATGTGACTAATAGCTTAGATGTGTTGCCATACGAATAGTATTCACTACTGTCATAGATTTAACAAATATTTAGCTTCATTAAAGTTAATACAACTAAACGATTAGCTAACTTAAAAATATACCTGAGCTCAGTTTCATAACCCGATGACAGGAGTAACTATCACACTATCAAAGCTGGGTACTTTATACTGTGTAATCTCTTTAGATCCTGGAGACTGAATAGATGTAACCATGGTAAACAGTGAATACAGAAAACATTCAGTGACAATATTCAATGTGGACAAATTATCTCCCATTGTTAGCATTATTAGTGTTAATGTTATTATGCCTATTCTATAGGTATTATTGTGCAGGTTTGTTATCACATGGTGTATCACATTCTCACTAATGCTACTTCCCTAAATACTATTCATCAACAACACACAACTAGTCATGTCTAACTAATTTCATCACTAAATAATTTCATAATGTTCATATTGGGCCGTAACAAATAAATCACATATTTATCAAAATGAGATTAAAGAATTTCTGGGTTTTTTTTACATGTTAATGATGGTGGCAGTAACAATGGTCAATTCTAACGAACATATAATCTATTTGTTTCGGCCTTATATAATTGGTTTCCCATCAAGAACTACCATAATGCAACGGGATTCGGTGCCCGTAAAAAACATGGTGTTCAGATTTTTAAACACTGTGACATTTTACATATAAAAGATTATTAGTGTACAATGGTGTAAACATTTGTGAAAGTTAGTTTTTGTACATTTGGCAAACACTTGATGAAACATGGTACATTTGAAAATAATCCTCTGAAACCACGCCAAGTCGCCCAGTCACAGAAAATATTTACTCAGGGATATCACAACTTCCTATTCAGGATGAAACTTTGACCTTTGATAACTGAATGTAACTGACACTTTGACCTCCAGGAAACCAATTCAAGCCAACAGCGGCCTGTGCACAGTAACCAAGGCAACAACTACTACTAATATCACTAATATATCAGCAAATAGGTGTTAAACCTAACTTGCCTTTTGTCTGGGATATATTCTTCTATATCCTGACCATGATGTTGTTCCAGTCTAATAACTCATAATGTAAACATGGTCAAAAACATAAAATATCTCAAATGTTCCTATAACACTTGAGCAGAGTATATAAATAGTTCAGATATTTTCAGTTAAAGAAATAAATCTACTTAAATGTCTGAGGAAGGTCAGTAATGTATTCATCTGGGCCTGTATCCCCAGTGTCAAACCTGGAGTGAGTGAGTTTTTGGGTTAACTGCCACTTTTAACAATAACCCAGTTATATCTCGATGTGTCTTAATGCTTAAAGCTGAATGTGGGAGATAAACTCGAAGTGATGCAGGTCTCAGACGTTTACCACTTTGGTGAAACCCACGAGCACGGGTATGGTTCTGACAAACCTATTACCATAATTGGGCAGACGGGCTTCGAGCCCACAATCAAAGGTTTACAGCAATAGCGGCAACTTAAGACAACAGGACCACCATGCCCCCGGCAAACCTGGACACAGTATCTATGTAACTATATATATGCCATAACTGCTAAATAAGTACTGAAAGTAAGTAAGTGAGTTTGGTTTTACGCCGCTTTTAGCAATATTCCAGCAATATCACGGCGGGGGACACCAGAAATGGGCTTCACACATTGTACCCATGTCTGGAATCGAACCTGGGTCTTCGGCGTGACGAGCGAACGCTTTAACCACTAGGCCACCCCGACCGCCCCATAAGTACTTAAAGCAGTCCCACGGCACTGAAGGTCTCCTGAACATCTACTGAACAGATCAAAGTGGCAACAAAGACAACACGTAACAAACGTTATTTTGAAATTCAAACATTTTCTGCATAAATATGGAGGTACAAAAATTAAAACTAAAATCTAATGATTTGAACAAAATATGATGTCATCAGAAGGAGAAATAATAACAATAATAATTTACGCATTTGTATAGCACAGCATTCACTGTGCATAAGTGCTCTGTGTGCTGAAACACACATGCCCAACTCCAGCTGAGTCAGTCTTCCTCTTTCAGAGAATTTAAGAATATTTTCCAAATAAGGTCAAAATATGAAACATAGTAAAAAAACATTTTGAATGTGTTGAATCTTACAACATTTTGAATGTGTTGAATCTTACAACAATGTTCGAATCTTTTAAAAAAATTGCGGTACAGTTATTTAATAGAGGTGTGCGGTATTACCGGTATACTACGATATGGAATACTAATGAATATGTATGACAATATGTTTGGAAAATACCGGTATATTCAGTTTTTGAAAATCATGCCTATCTTTATCTTGCTGGAAAAAGTTACATAAGTGACACTGTTTTCCTCAAACATCAGTATTTATGGTGATACAAGTAAATATCACATGACAATCCAGTCTGTATTTATCCTACAGTAGATAACACAGGAGAACATCCTTCCCACTCACGGTGAGGAGGAACTAGGCAGTCACAACATACCATTCACTGTTAGATATATAGAGATTATCAAGCGAGTATGTTTGGGGATGGTAAATATCCTGTATTTCAAATAAACATTGTATTTAGCGAGCCTTGGTGCAATTTATATCTCCAAAATTGCCTAAACTTGTAAAATGTCTTAGCTACGTCACAATTAGACACTGACTTTTAGTATATCAGACTATTCTTTTGATAATGATAGCAATTATCCCCGTAATTTCTCCAGATTCCCACTGAAAGTAGTCCCTACTTGACCTTTTATATGTGCATCTTTATCCGCATATGACCTCAACGGATATCATTTATATCCATTGGCCTTCTCCTGCCGAGAAACCCATCATAATATGAAAAATCCATAAACTTAATCATGTTAATAGGAGCCAAGAATAAATCAATTTTTAGATTCTTAGCAAAACTGTTATCTCAAGTCTCTTTGTTTTCAGACTCACTCAAGGCTATAAACAGCGTTAGAAATTGGCACTAGTCCTATAGTCCTTCCCAACCTACCCAGTAGTTAAGGTATGATAACAACTTTGCCATTTTTAAGGGTTTTGCTACACGTTATCATTATACGGACTAGTAGACCATGTAGACCAGTTAGTTTCTGTCACTGCTATTTACCATTCTCATAGCAAAAGAGACCCGTGAAGATCAGGGGTAGAATAGGTCTTCAGCAACCCATTCTTGCCGTTAAACGCAACTGTTCTTATTGTAAGAGGCGACTAACGGGATCGGGTGGTGAGGCTCTCTGACGTGGTTGATGCATGTTATCGTAATCAATTGCGTGGATTGATGCTCATGCTGTCAATCACTAGATTGTCCGGTCCAGATACGATTTACAGACCGTCGTCACATAGCTGGAACAGTGCTGAGTGCAGCGTTAAACAACAAATAAACGAATAACTTATAGCAAAAGACCTCAAGTAACACACAGCCCAAGTATGTGTACTTCAAAATGAAATTGCCTTTCTGCAGGTCACCAACACATCCTAAACGAACCTCATAAAACATATCATCATTTGTTAAAACAGCGTTAGAAATTGGCACTAGTCCTATAGTCCTTACCAAACTGACCAATAGTAAAGGTATCCTAAGGACAAGTAGAAATTGGCCCATTTTAAAGGTTTTGCCATATGTTATCATTATATAAAGGACTAGTGGACAAAAACTGTTAGTTTCTAACCCTGTAGCACCCAGTTTTGTACACAGAGTTTTTGTCCCCCCCATGACTCATTGGGGACCTCCAGGAAGCAGCAATAAATCTGTTTACCCCACTCCCTGATCCACTAGTGACACTGTAGTGCCACATCTCATGCAAGCAGAGACACATACTAAAAAAAGACATGACTAATCATTATAAAGTTTGTTCTTTATGGCGCCGTGGAGAACGTATTCTTGGACAAGGAAAAAACATGACACATAAGGTGTACTACATTTACAGCTTAGTACAGATCTTAAGGGATGGTGCCAAATGGAAATATGCATTTATTCAAACTTAATATATCTTTACAGGGGTAAATTTGATTCTCAAAAGAAACCAGCCCCTGACTCTATCCCAGCACTAAGCTCAAAAACTTTGTGACATTAGCCAAAAAGTTTGATTATCACCAAAAAGGCTGAGAAAACTTTTGAGATGACCCCTGTAGTCATAGTGCATGTCTCCAGGTGCAATACAACGGAATCAATACCAGTCTATGTACACTGATATGATTGTCCTTCATTGTTTATAGCCTTGTTTACTTAGCTACAGCCTCTGTGACCCATCTGGGATTTGCCTGTCAATCTAAAACTGATGTAATATGTATGTCTAGCAGTGGCTGATCCACGGACACCCCTACCCCCTATAGTCATGCTAGTCATTACGTAAGTTAAGGCTGTGAAAAACTTTTCCAGTTGGACGTATTTTCCAGATCAGGAAGGTTCCCTGAAACAAAGTTGTTACTGCGGCCTTGAAATAATATATTGCTGCTAATTGTATCTGGGTTTGTTGTTGGTCTACGACTATCTTAAGTCAACACTAAAGCATGGGTGTTGTCACAGTCTTAGTGCTACGACTATCGTAAGTCAACAATAAAGCACGGGTGTTGTCACAGTCTTAGTGCTACGACTATCGTAAGTCAACAATAAAGCACGGGTGTTGTCACAGTCTTAGTGCTACGACTATCGTAAGTCAACACTAAAGCACAAGTGTTGTCTACAATATATTTGTATGTACATGGTATGCTGATGTCAGTGCTCTTTATTGCTTCATTCAAGTTACATTTAGACCAAACCAAATTTACATTTATGTTAATTCAAAAACAGTAAATCAAAACATTCTGTGATTTGATAAAAAATGCAAAAATGCAAAATGTGATTATCTCCCCTTTTCAGATGAACTAAAACAAGTGGCCTCTTTTCACATAATACCACGATTTGATTCATATTATTAAATCTTGCATATGACTTATTGACCAAAAAAAAGAAGGAAATTGATCTGGCCAAATTTTGCAATGACAGCAACATTCCAACATCACACAATAACCCTCATGATCCTATTGATGAGGTAGGCATGACAACAGCGAGTGCTCAATATGGTGATGTGACCGGTATATTTGAGTGCTCAACATTTCACTTACATACAAGTTACTATACACACTAGAAATCTCAACATTTGGAAATATATATAGATCAATACATGGGTAGGTAAAGTGGGTAAATAAAGAGGTCCTTGAGGTTTGTTGGTGTAGTATTTGAGTCTAAAGACCCCCTAAATCATGTTTAAACATTGGGACTAAGAACTCTTGGACTCTCAAGCTTCATTTAGAACCCTGGGTAGGTGCATCATGTATGGGACTGCTCGGTGTAAATTCGCAGTGCATCAATACATTAGTACACCCGCACTCAATCATGTCAACATTCTACCTGAGACTCAAACGCAGTTAAACTGAAAGTCAGCCTTGACCCCTGACAGAGAGACCTTCCTGGACATGGCAACAGTTATCACAGAGAGCGTGGGGACATATCCAATTATGAAGAATACTCCATGTCTAAGGGAGAGCATTGTAGAGAGTTAGTGAGTGGGGGGATTTACACCTAGACTGAACTCAATTTACAATGGGAGTATGGGAAGAGAAAACTTTAATCACACAGTTGGGCCAGAGTTTTACTTTATTGTGTGGTTTAAAGACGATTGTGTCAGTAGTCTTGGGGAATTACACACAAAAAGACAAGACATTTCAGAGTACGTTGCTTTTTGGACGAGGTTCAATAAGCCGAAGTCAGCATGTTTATGATCTAATTTAACTTTTCAATATTATTAGGGCCTGAGGAGTTATTAGGTGTGACTGTATGACAAGTATGACAATGGTATAGATGGTATCAAGTGTGTCAGTTTAAACATGGCAATAATCTTGTGTAAAATAACAAACTTTTTAAATGAAGTTTGATGGAATGATTGAAATATACATGACAAAACATTATAGAAAAATCCTTCCAAATTTATAAATGGAGCAATTTTCTATGACCTTCTTACAGCAAGCTCCATGCCATCATAATAAATCTAAGTACAACTGCTTTATATTTAACATTTACAATCATAAACACCACATGTTTGTTTTCATCAATATCAATGTCAGAGTTAGAAAGGAGGCTGAGAGAGTGGTCCGTCAGGCTCCCGGCTGCAGTAACTTCATCTAATGACACTTAAGTATGCATCTTTACACCTCAGTTTAATAACAAGGACCCACTGACTTTCATCCTAAATTTCAAACACAGAACTTCAAAATTAAGCACATACACTACGATTCACAAATCTCATCAAGAAAAGTGCCATGACTAAAACCTACACTGTGATGTGTTAAATATCCTCCTCTTCTACAGCCCCTACAGCATCTATTCCTACATTACAATGTTCAGTCGTTCACTGCCGTCGTCAACTGAGAGGTCCGAGGGATCCAATCTGCCCATTCATTTTCTTCTCATCCAAAATGTTTGCTCGCCGTTTTCGCCATTCTGCGCCCAGTTTCTCCACCTGTTGCAAGATCTCCTCGTGCATGTCCACAAACGACCTGGGAGGCTTCTGTGCCCAGCTGGTGTGGGGGCTGTAGGGCCCTGGCGCCCCTGATTCCATTACATTGAACAAATCACACGACTCCCACTCCGAGCCCGAACTCAACCTCTGATTAAACGGATTTGTTCTCTTATCGCCACAAAGCACAGCCTGGCGGTTCCCTTTGACCTCCAAACCCTGTCTCTCAATGTATGTTTGGGACAATATTCGACTCTGTCGTTCTGCCTCCTCTACCACTTTCCTCTGTTCCTCGGAGTTTGCTTCTCTCAGTTTTTGCTGAAGTTCGCTCACCATGAGTTTGACATATTCATATCCTGCCGCCGACAATGCCTTCATCCACGATTCCATTAATTCCTGGGTCTCTCCGCTGATAATGTATGTTCGACTGCTCGATCCTAGGAAATTTATTTGGAATGTAAAATTGTCTGAATTTTCAGCAAGCTCAATAGTGCAGCCTTCTAAGACAATGACACCCAAGGGTTCTCGGTCCCCTTTTTTCTCATAGTAAAAGAGTAAATTTCCTTTCAGCACAAACCATCGCCTTTGAAATCCCTTGTTGACTTCACCTTTCTTCATCAAATAACCCTCCTTATCGGAAGGGCCACCAGAACTGGCATAGCGACACAAGGCTTTGTCGTTCAAAATCTTCATTGTTTGGATTTAAAAAACACACCATTCAGTTAATTCACCATGATGAATCTGGATGAATAATCACTGTCGTTGACATGTCTTGACTAAGACAGGAAATGCAGATGACTATCTCATGAACAATCTCTCCGTCAATTATACATGAAGACTTGGGGCAACAAATCCTTTTATAACCGTGGCTTATTTCTTCTTTACTCCTTTACTTCTTTACAATAAGTTGGAAGTGAATATCTACGTCTATTACAGTGCAAGCATTTAGAGAATGCAAAGTAATATTTTGATTGAAGTAAGATTCACTGGTGAAATGATTACTCACTGGTGTCCGACATGTCTGTGGATCCCATTCATATGGTGTTGACATTCCTCATAAAGACACCACCAACGACAAAGTCGGTTTCAATTGGGATATTACCGTTAAATAGATTAGTCATGTCTTGTTCTCAGATCCGTTAATATTCTCACTAACTGAGACATCTCCGAGTCTGCCATTTTGGCCACGCCCACCGCTAGGGAGCAATAATTGCGTAGAAAATACATCTGAACTGTGCTCAAACTCAACCACTTCCAAATGTTTCAAGAAGACCAACTGGTACTATTTTAACATTTTATGATAATACTAATTTTTCTCAATGTGCCAGGTCCATATTTCATGATATATTGCTGTGTTGATATATGATACGCAAAGATTCCTCATTCACGTGACCATTGGTTCAAGTCATATGACAGGAAAATGGCAGCGGCCTACCAGTCTACGTTGGTTGTGTTGTTGTTGTCATTTCTTTCGACAACACTGTCTCTGAAGGATAACGGTCCTAAAACCGTTTACGTGATTTTAGATGATGCAACACAGACATTCAAGTTCTCCGAGAATGTGGAAAATAAATATGTCGTGTCGGCAAACTACGTGGATTCTATGAATGCGACCGGGTAAAATTTCAATACTGTTATGTGTTAGGCCTATAAGATTTGATTTATTTCCTAGGACTTTGACACCCAAAAGATTTTTTTTCAAATTTGGTAATTTTACAAAATAATTTCCATCCTTACAATTATCGCTGAACTTGGGAACATGTCCTGTGGGACTGGTAATTTATTGTGGGTAGGCTTGGGGCAGGATTGATTAGGACTGGATTATATTGGGACCCCCCACCCCCAATACATGTAACATTTTCATCATAACTCTCCTTCTTATAATTAATTACTAGACTCTGTGGTCTAGTGGTAGAGCATCCGCCTGGAGAGCCGAAGGTCCAGGTTTCGATCTCCGTGCGCATCAATCCAAAAGATGTTAAAAGATGGTACTTGTTGTTACCCTGCCTGGCGCTTGGCATTAAGGGACTAAAACAAGGACTGGTCAGCTTGGCATCAGTATTCTGTGTCTAACTGGGGTATTCATGTTACACTGAGGCAATGTATCTCAGTAAGCTAGCACTGTAAAATCACTCTGGACTAGTACAAGGAGCCCCACATCCACCCCCACACACACATGTTGCTATATAAGGGCAATAATCTTGAAAGACCTTACAGGCCAATTCACCTCACCTCACCGCACCTCACCGCACCTCACCTCACACACAATCACGCCCATAGCTGTGAGACATATTGTTAACCCCTCCCCTTCCCCACCCCAACCACCTCCCTCTTTCTCTGTGTCGTTTCTTCATGACCCACTCCTATAATAAATGACCGGTCCCAGATATCAGGTCTTCAGAATGAATTATTGGCCTCGTAACCAAACTGACCACTCACCCACTCAACTTGTCTTTCCACAGATGGTCCTTCCTGGATATTGCAGCTTCAAGTGACGTGGCCTACAATGATTCTGTGCGGGCTTATGCAGCCGGTCTGGCCGAGAGTTACTTGACACGAGAGTCCATCAACCTCCAGTGGCAGAACACCATCGCTGGCTACTGTGAGAAGCCTTACAGTGACTACTGTCAACGTCTCGAGGGTTTCCTCAATGCCAACCTGCTTTGGGTCAAGGAACAGATCAGGAAGAACAGGAACAACCCATACTGGCATCACGTAACTCAGCAGTATTTTAGCCATATTGTGATGGAATGATGCTAAGCTAAAGATAGTCGTTCAGTCAGATTACCAAATGAGTGAGGGAAACTCAGTGTTAGTTTGGTGATGGAGAAGGGAGATGGAGACGCTGACATCGTGTCCCAACTGAAGCTACAGTGGTTAATGGGTCCAGGGTATTTGTAATCATAGACTGGAGATGTAATACACTGGAGTATCCTGATGTTAGAGGATGGGTCGCAACATTAAAATAACCTATCTTTTCCCATCCTTTCAAAGGTTTTATTTTTTCAGATAAGGAAATATAACCAAGAAAGAATTTAGGTGCTCATGATTAATAATCAGAACAATAGACTTCCTGTTAACATTGGCTAGGAAAGTTTAATGTTTGTTGTGTCGTAACCATATTCCAAGCTTTGCTCCTGTGTGAATGCTATCACTTTGATCATATTCTTGTGATTTTCTTACAACCTCCCCTGACCCCCGCTGTGATATTGCTGGAATATTACTAAAAGCGGCGTAAAACCATACTCACTCACTCACTATTCCTGTTTATATGATTTAGTTCCACGGTCATGTTAATGTACGATATTACAAGATGGTGGCTTGTAAACTCACTACTTTCTGAGGTCATCTCTTTCCTCTTGTCTCCGGCAGGTTGCGTTGTTCTATGAACAGCTAGCTGGTCTTCAGGATGGCTACTCCAAAAGTGTTCGACAAGTCAACATGGACATAGAGTTATTTGGCCTATAGTAGGTGAACAATTGCAGCTTATGAGTTGTGAGGCTTCAACAAATTTATGTAACTGTTTGTGGGAATCATGACAATTGTTTATGAAAGTTGTTGTTTATTGGTGTTACAAGGCGCAGGTGATCATATTTCATTTCATAATTGCCAGACAGGAAATAAATGTTCCCCACATTGTTTCTGAGAAAGCAAAACTATATGAACCTCAAGTTCAGTATTGGATTTAGAATAGAAAAAACATTAACACAAGAACCAAGAGAATTATAAATAGATATAGGCAATGGTATATTTATTTAAAGGTATGGTTTATAGATATAAAGTTGTGCTATTTAGATATTCACTGTGGTATACATGTGTGTGTGTAAAGCTGTTGAATACACATGTAACTCTCTCTCTCTCTCTCTCTCTGTATATATATATATATATATATATATATATATATATATATATACTCAACAACAAAAGTTCCAAAAGACACCAATATTTTAGTGTATTTTTCAAACAAGTACAGTTTGGTTTTCAATATTGTAGTACATGTATGGAATCAAGTAACAAAAATGCAACTGCTACAGAAAAGCATGCATTCCATGCAAAAGTTGACTTTTATGCAAGCCCCATGCATTTCACTACCCAAGAATGGGTATATAAACATGTGCGTTAACGGGATTCCATATGCATTGTTAAGCATCATGCTGACAACAACCACTCAGAAAAACATCAAAACTACGCAATTATTCAACATTACGAAATGCCACGCCTGTCGAAAAATGAGCGTCTGCGAGCCATTGGTATGCTTGAAGCAGGATCGAGTCAACGTGATGTTGCAAGACAATTGAACGTCCACAGAAACACCATTTGGTGTTTATGGCAACGTTGGCAACAGACAATTGCAGTCAGAGACCATCCTCGGAGTGGCAGGCCACGCGTAAACCAATAATTGACAAGACAACTGGATTCGAAGAACACACCTACGAAATCAATTCCAGCCAGAAACAGTGACTGCAAGAAGCATCCCAGGCCTTCGACAAATATCTATACAAACCGTACGTCGCCGCCTCAGATGTGCAGGGATTGTCGCCAGAAGACCCGCCAGACGTCCCATTTTGACAGGAAACCACCGTCAAGCACGTCTACACTGGACGGCCATGCAGTGGGGATAAGTTCTATTCACTGACAAGTCTTGTTTTCACCTCAGCCACAGCAATGGACGGATTCGAATGTACCGACGTCGAGGTGAACGTTATGTCAATCATTGTGTCATAGAAGAAGATCGGTTCGGGGGTGGTAGCGTTACGGTATGGGGTGGGATTACAGCAAGACAGAGGATCCGTTTGATAGTGGTAGAGGGAAATCTCAATGGACAGTGCTACCGCGGCGAGATCATCGGCCCTGTTGTTCTACCGTTTTTGCGTCGTCATTGCCCTGGAATTACCTTTCAACATGACAACGCCGGCCTCATATTGCTCGACTTGTTCAGGATTCTCTTCATCAAAACAACGTGAATGTCATCCCCTAATCTCTCACCAACCGAGCACATGGGATGAGATGGATCGGCGCCTTCGACGTCAACCACACATTCCACAGACACTCCAGGAACTTCGAACTTCGAAGCATGCTCCAGCAGATATGGACAGATATCCCACAGGACTTTGTGAGACGCCTGGTCCATTCCATGAGATGAAAATGTGTTGCTTGCATCGCAACCAGAGGTGGACACACACGCTATTGATTTGTAAATTGACATTTTGGCATGTTCATGTTTTTTATGAAATCACACATTTTATGTAGTCAGTATGGCAAATTAAACAATTTGAACACTTACAGGAGTCTTTCTATCTGTTGCAAATCAAAATTTTCTCAGATTTGGTAAAAAACATAACTTTGCATTAAATCTTATTCAATGTCACCGGAACTTTTGTTATCATATAATCCTGTGTCCTGCAGTGCCTTCCAATATGGTGGTGACCTCGAGGATCTGGAGGAGGTCCTCCACAAGCCTGTCCCTCGACGTATCCTCGGCTCCGGGTCGTGTTCAGCACTTGTCAAGGTGCTGCCCGGGAATGAGGAGATCTTTGTAGCTCAGGACACATGGACGTCCTTCCAGAACATGCTGAGGATCCTGAAGAGATACAAACTTGGGTTTACAGCATCCGGACATCAGGATGGTGAGGGCACTGCCTGTGTGCAGCCACTCACAGCTGTGCAATGACGTCACATCAATAGGCCAATACCCTTTCGGTTTTTTTAATGGATGAAAGCTTTAACATGTAGTGTGACCCAAGGCACTGTTAATGGTCAGGTTAAAGTAGGGTATGCCATTTATATGGTGATGTGCATGCATAGTCTCATAGTCACGGGTTTCACAAGGAACTGTTTTGTAAAAAAATGTGATTACTGTGTGTGCCCTACAGCAAAATGCTAGTCTCTGGGATCATTTAACAGTGTCTTATGATTTAACCATGACATCGGCTCTTTAATACAAGAAATTTTGAACCCAGATATTTAAAAGGAAATAAAACACATCAATTTTTAAGGATGTGTTGGATTAATATGATTATAGGTATTCTAATTTTGATTTTTTTTTTTTTTTTAAATTTTCCACTTTTCTGTTAGTTTTTAAAAATTACAAATTATCTCAAATTTTCCCACATCCAAAATAGTTTGATTTTAATATTACCGCTGTCAGTAACTTTTAAAAATAAGAAATTATGTTTGTGGTGTTTAGAAAGAAAATCTTTGCTAAAAATAGATGCACTGGATAAAAAACAATTACTTCTCAGGTTTGAAAATAAGTTGTCAGTCACTGGGCATGTAGCATCCTCTATATGTTGAGTGGTCACATTCCCACGGTGCTCATGATCTCAAATTACCTGCCCTTGATTGTAGCTACACTACTCAAGTCTAACGGACCAATCAAATCGCAAGTTACAAACCAGCCTCAATGTTGGTGGCCAGTCCCACTGATTATGATAATGTTTGCAAGAAATTCAACATTGAAAAACTGACTGACACGCAAAGAAAAGCCTTAAAAAAATCTTTGTGATTTAAAGGATGTCTCTGTCCATTAAAACTGATGGTGGAAAGTCCCTTTGCTACCAAGCATTACCTGTGATATTGTTCCTAGGCAGTATTAAGGGTTGTCTCCCTTTCCAAATTTCTTTTTCGACCTTTGATTTGTCCGTAACCAGAGACCATATAATAGATAATAATAATCTATTATATGGTCTCTGCCATAACCAATCTCATTAAAATCAGATCTTAGTTCTCACTACCGCTAAACAAAGATCTGAGGACATCCCATTACAGGTCACGTCAGACCAACCTTGCGCGAACTTTGACCCATCAATGGAATGACCAATGAGAAGGCACCTTTCTCGTGCTTTACAGCACAAATTTCAAATTGGTGACTACGCTTCGAAACATATTTTGACAAATTCTCGATTACTACTTTGAAACCTGAACAAAAAAAACATTCTGGAATGGCGAATAGATGGTCTAGATTGTAAGGATTCAGTTGTTCAACCCGTAACTTTCGTTTGGAATACCCCATGTTAAAGTTTTCGAGATTGCATGATTTGAAAACACATTCCGACCGTCACTTTCATAATCTGGTAAGCGACGCACTGATTGGTCGTATGAAAGGTCATTCTGACGTGACCCCTAATGGGATCTCTTCAGATCTTTGTTGAGCGGTAACATGTTAACAATATCAAGGGCAGGTAATTTGAGATGGATCCAGGGGATAGTGAAGGCTATCTGAAAAGTGAGCCCTGAAGATATAGAGGGTTAACATGCCATAGTCCTGAAGATAGAGAGGGTTAACATGACATAGCCCTGAAGATAGAGAGGGTTAACATGACATAGCCCTGAAGATAGAGAGGGTTAACATGACATAGCCCTGAAGATAGAGAGGGTTAACATGACATAGCCCTGAAGATATAGAGGGTTAACATGCCATAGCCCTGAAGATATAGAGGGTTAACATGCCATAGCCCTGAAGATATAGAGGGTTAACATGCCATAGTCCTGAAATAAATTAGCTGTGAAAAAAATGAATTTGTTTGGGTTCTCCGCCTTTGTGAGTTTTGAAGAAGTGGTGACTGAAAAAGTATCTTGACTCGAATGAAGACCACTAAAAAAACTTCTGAAATGCCGACCAGGTTGTAGGAGGATGTTGTGGAAGTGTTGGTTTCACAGTAGATCGTTGATGACATGACATGCAGACATAGCAGCATGTGTATCAAACACCTCCACCTGGTAGTCTCGCTACACCTTCTGTTTCAATATGAAGTCTTTCTGACCATGACCGTAGTCACTGCATTAATCACCCTGCTCAAGAAAGCACCCCAATAAACGTTTAGACCAATCTGCAAGTAATGTTTATAAGCTGTTTATAAGCTCCCTTACTAAGAGTGAAAGATAACATGAAAGTCCCATATTTTCTCCTGTCTTTCACAGACTTTTGTTAACAGAAACAGCAGCACAGATTGGGTATATTATTACATATATATAGTTGCATAAATATTTGAACTATGCTTGTTCACTTGCTCAATCTCTGAAAACAAGTTTGATTTGTGTACTGTTTTAAAAGGTACATCCCTCTGTCAATTTTCTAAGTGCCTAGAGCGCTTAATATGGTGAATACAGTAACATAAATGAAAGATTACCAAAGTACTATTTAGTGACTTTAATAGTGGACAGTTATGTAATCGTTACATTGAATTACAATGATGATGATGATGATGATTGATGGATGATGATAATGATGATGATGATGATGATTGTTGATGATGTTGATGATGATTGATGGATGATGATGATTGATGGATGATGATGATGACGATGATGATGATTGTGGATGATGATGATTGTTGATGATGATGATGATGATGACGCTGACATCCCTCCCTCCCTCCAGTTCTGGCCCCAGGGGACACGATGACGTTCTCCTCCTACCCTGGCAGCATCATGTCCGGCGACGACTACTACCACCTGTCATCTGATATGGTTTCCATGGAAACTACAATAGGAAACAGCAACAACGACCTATGGCAATATGTGACCCCCCAGTCAGTTCTGGAAGGTGTCCGGTCCCTGGTTGCGAACCGACTGGCAACATCAGGAGTGGAATGGGCGTATTACTTCTCCCAAGAAAACAGTGGAACGTAAGGGAGATCACTCCGTGACTCCTTAATGACCAAAGTTACAAAGACTATTCTCTAGAGATGTTGAATAAGCTTGGTTTCATAAAGGCTCAATGGTTAACCACATTTGATGTATTTGATGTATTCTGAGCAATGGTACAATAAGCTGACAAGAAATTAATATCTCATATGACCTTCACTTGGGTAGTGCTCCAAGAATTTCCCTCTGCAGTTTCATTTGAAAACTAATTAACCCTTGAACATCTGTCTCTCAAGATCTTGGTTTTATCACAAGTTCACCTGACAGCCTTTCCCTCTTCATAGGCAGATCCAGAAGGGGGGGACTCCGGAACATGCACCCCTCTCCCCCTCATGAAAACCAAGTGTTGTATGTTCTAGGCAGTAAACTTATCTGAGAAAGGATTTTCATATTTTTGACCCCTCCCATTTAAAACTGTTGGATCCCTTCCCTTACCTTCTTTAACCTTGTATGACCTTTCTGATTTGATCTAATATTTAGAAACAGGCGAGCTATCGAGTTTTGTGGCTCCGCCAGCAGAAATATATAACACATCATTGCTTCAAGGAAGGGTGTTTATGGATGGCAGTGAACCAGGATTGTTTTTTTTAACCTTGTATGATCTGTCTATGTTCAAGAACTCCAAGATGTACACTGTAGTATTTTGTGTAATAATGACTTGTATTTGTTACCATGGTAACCAGGTACAACAACATGTGGATGATTGTCGATATGAAGAGGTTTTCACCAAGGAGCCAATCACTGAACTCGGGTCTGCTGACTGTCCTGGAACAAATACCGTAAGTGAAGTGTGGAATCTTCTGGGGTTTGGTTCTTGTATTCTTAAGTTTATTCTCAATGTATGTATGTTTTGGCTCTGTGCTTCACCACACAGAGTTGTGTTCCTTGGTAACACCAGGATCTTCTTGTGTTTGAATCCAATGCCTACTTTGTAATATTCCACTGTTTCTCAAGAATGAATGTCTACTTATGACTAGTTGTGTAACACCCAGTGAAGTTCAGTCTTCAGCAACCAATTCTTGTCTCTCCCGTGAAGAACTGAGCTAGAATCAGTCTTCAGCAACCCATGCCTGTCGTAAGAGGCGACTAACTGGATCAGGTGGTCAGACTCGCTGACTTGGTTGCAATCTCATTAAAATCAGATCTCTCAGTTCTCGCTACCGCTAAACAAAGATCTGAAGACATCCTATTAGGGGTCACGTCAGAACGACCTTTCATACGACCAATCAGAGCGTCGCTTACCAGATTATGAAAGTGACAGTCGGAATGTGATTTCTAATCATGCAACCTCGAAAAATTTATTCCGAATGATAGTTACGGGTTTAGTGACTGAATCCATACAATCTAGCCCAACTATGAGCCATTCCAGAATGTTCTTTTGTTCAGGTTTCAAATTTGTAATCGAGAATTTGTCAAAATATGTTTCGAAGCGTAGTCGCCAATTTGAAATTAGTGCCGTAAAGCACGAGAAAGCTGCCTTCTGATTGGTCATTCCATTGGTAGGTCAAACTTCGTGCAAGGTCGGTCTGACGTGATGTCCTCAGATCTTTGTTTAGCGGAGGCGAGAACTAAGATCTGATTTTAATGAGATTGACTTGGTTGATGTATGTTATCGTGTTCAGAGATTGATGCTAATGATCATATTGATGTCATGGTCTGTCATGGTCTGTCATGATTTGTCTGGTCCAGACTCGATTATTGACAGACCACCATCATAAAGCTGGATATTGCTGAGTACTGCATTTACCAACAAACAATCAAACTTGTTTCACCTATGTTGCTGTTCTTTTGTCACTAGGAATATGATCAAGTACGCTGACTTGACTTCTTTGCTGGAAAAAAAAGGCTATTTTGCAAGTTACAATGTTGCGTAAGTATCTTAAGACATGTCAGATTTGCAATATTGTTTTCTGAGTTTACATATTTCCTTCTGTGAATCATCAGTCGGGGAAATGAAATTAGTTGAATGAAAGTGGCTTCACACATGTGTCAACACATGTATTTACACCCTGTGCACTCAAAAGAACCGTCTTGTCCGATGGTAGAAGACCAGATGGTGGGAACACAAATTCGACAGACACCCGAAACGCAAGTGTCAAAATGTGTGGTGTCATCCTGGGCAAGTGACTTAGTTCAAATGTGCCTCTGTTCACCCAGCAGGGAATGGGTAACCAGTATGTAAGGTGGATGTAAAAAACCCTGTAGGCAGCTTGGTTTGTATACTCCCCAGGGAGTTGAGAATATTAACTTGAATGCAAACGGATCCAATTTTGGGGACCAAATTTGAGCAGATACTTGTACCTGGATACCTGCCGGATATAAATGTATAATATACATTAAGACGAGTTCTATGGATGAACAACTTCTTTATTACAATTGGTGCGACGTTTCAGTGTAGATCCTAATACCTTGTTCATCCATAGAACTCGTCTTACTTTATCACTCCAACTTCTAAATGCCACTTAAAGAAGTTATAATATACATTGTTTGATAGGCATTACTTAGAAGTTGACAGATGACAAAGATGACACAATTTATGGATAACACCTTCTTTAATTTCTGTAAAAAGTAATAATACAATATATTTTGAGTATTTCTAACATGAAGTTATGTTTCACAGCGTATCCTGAAACTATGTCTGCATATTTAAAGTAAAATGTTTCCACAACAATTGAATCAATGAATCAATTAACCAATGAAAGTACCAGGAATAACAAGTGTGGAATGTATCTAGGATTCCAAACAAAGTGTCTTTCACGGGCATACTGGGGAAAAGAGGTTATTTTGTTTTAAAAAATGTTTATGGTTTTTAGAGTTTTTATGTTTTTAAATGCAGTATTTTAACAACGGACATGTAGAAGTTTAACACTGCATTCAATGTGGTAATGTTAGCTAATTATTCAGACCCTTCCTCTATCATGGCCCTGCTGACAGTGAAACACAAGTCACCTCACCAAAGCCATCATATTAGTTATGGCCATACCTGCATCAACTGGGAAGTTTTTCATTCCAGCCTGGGAATTTGTACTGACAGGTGCTGCTGACTTGGGGCTGAATATTGGACTCCGAGCACGTCTAAATAAACAGCTGCTATTATGTAAAGAATTAAATGCAGAATTGATACAATTTCTGTCACATGTGTAATATTTTTCCCCTTATCATGTTTATAACAACAAATCGACCGCCTCCGTAGTCTCGTGGTTGAGCATCCGCCTGGAGAGCGGAAGGTCGGGGTTCGTCCCCGGCCGTGTCATACCAAAAGATGTTAAAAGATGGTACTTGTTGTTACCCTGTCTGGTGCTCGGCATTAAGGGGCTAAAACAAGGACTGGTCGGCTCGGAGTCAGTATGCTGTGTCTGGGTGGGGTATTCATGTTAAACTGTGACATGGTATCTCAGTGGGCTAGGGCTATAAAATCGGCATTAGTCCGGACTAGTACAAGCAGCACGTCGCTATATGAGAGCAATAATCTTGAATGCGACGTTAAAACCCAGTTCACCTTACCTCACAAATTACTGTTTCTGAAAGTGTTACAGTAACATTCACACAATGTTGATCTTCTCCCTGCAGATACTTCCCTGAAATCTTCAATGCAAGCGGTGGCCCCGAGAATGTGAAGAAGTATGGGGACTGGTTCAGTTACGACCACACCGCCCGCGCCAACATCTTCCGCCGCGACCATTCCAAGGTCAAGGACATGGACTCCATGATGAAACTCATGAGGTACTGTAATGTAGGACTGACTTGCCGTGCCATCGTGTTGGCTGTTGAACATAGTGACATCTCACGTCAACATGCTGTACCTGGAACCTAGCAAGGGGGAAAAATTCCAGATGAAAGTACAGGATTCTTTTCTATTTTGGCTTCAGGCTCGACGACTTATTTTAAAAAAAAAAAAAATTATTATTATTATTATTATTATTATTATTATTATTATTATCATCATCATTATCATTATTATTATTATTTTCATCTTTTCAAATACAGGCATTGTACAATAGGAATATTACTAAATAACATATATAAGTCAAGTTTCAGTGTAAAAGTACTACGGCTGGGACTACCTGAGTACCCAACCCCTATTACCCGACCCTACCCAGGTACCCACTGTAGGTCTTAAGATAGGTACCAAAAAGTCCAATTAAATAGCATTTGACCGTACTCCTGTCAAAATAAATTTAGATACATGTATAAACCGATCTGGTCAGGCATACACTGAAGTTGACTGAAGTTTTATCTTTATGCAAACATATAAAGTCGGAAGGAATGTGTACCCACCCGACCAGAGTACCTTAGTTACCCATCACGAGTTACTTGATATTGAAATATATATATGGTTTTTCTTATAAAACTTTTTTTTGACGACTGAAATATTATTACATTTATCTTTATTCTTACTGCAAGCATGTGAAATGTATCACTGTAGTGTACCAGGTGAGCTACACTGCCATGCTGCTTTACTGGTTACCATGGTTACTTCCAGATACAATGACTTCACCCACGACCCTCTCTCTCGCTGTAACTGTACGCCGCCATACAGCGCCGAGAACGCCATCTCCGCCCGCTCAGACCTCAACCCCAAGAATGGGAAATACCCCTTTTCATCTCTGGGTCATCGGTCACACGGTGGCATTGATGCCAAGGTATATATAATATAGAGGATATTGTATGAGTGTTCGTGTCATGCTATGTTTACAACACAAGTGTCTAAATTCCGGTATTTCCCCAGCGAGAGCGAGGGAAATACCAGAATTTAGGCACGAGTGTCGTAAACATAATATGACATGAACACTCAAATAATGTTCTGTTTATTACCCAAGAATATGTATACATACAGAGACAAATTTTAGTGTTAAGCTATAAGGACAGCAAGTCACTACAGCAGCGGAACCACAATTTGTTGAATGGCATCAACACGTTTCTAGTGTAATGTCATTCCGACTTCACATCACAATAGGATATGAATGGCATCAACAATGTCTTCCGGATGACGGAAACAATACACTGTTGTCTCGTGAGGTGATATGACCCTAGGGCACCTAGAACCCCTCATAGGTAATAAAATACTTTATTCAGAAAGTAGGCCTCAGCAAACCGACAGATGACAGACAGCAGACAGACAAATTGACAGACAGCGAACAGACAGATGGTCAGACAGACTGATAGACAGACAGCAAATGGACAGACAGATGGACAGACAGTTAACAGACAGCAAACAGATGGACAGACAGCAATCAGACAGATGGATAGACAGACAGCAATCAGACAGATGGACAGACAGCAAATAGACAGATTGACAGACAACAAAGATATTGACAGATGGACAGACAGGTAGATGACAGATAGATGGTCAGATAGATGGACAGATAGATGGACATTAAACAGACTGACAGCAAACAGACAGATGGACAGACAGCAAACCGACAGATGGACAGACAGGTAGATGGTCAGATAGATGGACATTAAACAGACTGACAGCAAACAGACAGATGGACAGACAGCAAAGCGACAGATGGACAGACAGGTAGATGGTCAGATGACCAGACAGCAAACAGATGGAGAGACAGCAAACAGATGGACAGACAGTAAACAGATGGACAGATTGTTAGACAGCAAACAGACAGATGGACAGACAGCAAACAGACAGATGGACAGACAGGTAGATGGTCAGATAGATGAACATTAAACAGACTGACAGCAGACAGACAGATAGACAGGCAGCAAACAGACAGATGGACAGACAGCAAACAGATGGACAGACAGCAAACAGACAGATGGACAGACAGCAAACAGATGCACAAACAGCAAACAGACAGATGGACAGAGCAAACAGATGGACAGACAGCAAACAGACAGATGGACAGACAGCAAACAGACAGGTGGACAGACAGCAAACAGATGCACAGACAGCAAACAGACAGATGGACAGACAGCAAACAGACAGATGGACAGACAGCAAATAAACAGATGGACAGAGCAAACAGACAGATTGACAGACAGCAAACAGATGCACAGACAGCAAACAGACAGATAGACAGGGCAAACAGATGCACAGACAGCAAACAGACAGATGGACAGACAGCAAACAGACAGATGGACAGACAGCAAACAGACAGTTGCACAGACAGCAAATAAACAGATGGAGAGACAGCACACAGACAGGATGACAGACAGCAGATGGACAGTCCAATGGACAGACAGCAAACAGACATATGACAGACAGCAAACAAACAGGTGGACAGACAGCAATCAGACAGATTGACAGACAGCAAACAGATGGACAGACAGCAAACAGACAGATGAACAGACAGCAATCAGATGAACAGACAGCAAACAGACAGATGAACAGACAGCAATCAGATGAACAGACAGCAATCAGATGGACAGACAGCAAACAGATGGACAGACAGCAAACAGACAGATGAACAGACAGCAAACAGCTTTGGCAGACAGCAAACAGACAGATGAACAGACAGCAATCAGATGAACAGACAGCAATCAGATGGACAGACAGCAAACAGATGGACAGACAGCAAACAGACAGATGAACAGACAGCAAACAGCTGGGCAGACAGCAAACAGACAGATGAACAGACAGCAACCAGATGAACAGACAGCAATCAGATGGACAGACAGCAAACAGATGGACAGACAGATGAACAGACAGCAAACAGATGGACAGACAGCAAACAGACAGATGAACAGACAGCAAACAGCTGGGCAGACAGCAAACAGACAGATGAACAGACAGCAATCAGATGAACAGACAGCAAACAGATGGATAGACATCAAACAGAAAGATTGACAGACCTGTAGATGAACAACAAACAGATGGACAGGAAAGAGATGTGAACACACAGACAGACAGACACACAGACAGACAGAAGGACAGCAAGCAGTCTTGAATACCTTAATTGGTTTTTTTACGTTTAGTTTTATCCTTGGTTGTTTTCATTTTGTCCAGATAACCTCCTACACTAACTTCATGCAACTGGAGAAGACGTTTATTGCTGTTGCCGGACCAACTTATGACCAGTTGTCTCCCTTCCAGTGGAGCAAGGCCGACTTTGCCAGTGAATGTCCACATTATGGTCACCCTGACCTGTTTCGCTTCACCCCCATGATGTACAATGGAACAATCCCGGACCTGAAATGGACTGCTCCATAACCAGGTGTTGCAACAACATAAAAAAAAGCAGAGGACTTCAGTTAATGTTTTTCTGCATATCATCGCATGAATTTTCTTTTTACAACCTATTATTTGATTGATATATCTTTTAATGTCACACATTTACCAGTGTGCCTCCACAAATGCAAAAATGATATTTTTGGTATGGCGTGAGAGTATGTAAAAAATATGATTTATTTATATTTAACATATTTGAAAATATCTTAATAAAGTCGCTATTTATACTCATGTGTATATCCCCTACTTAAACTGTGGTCTCTTAAAAAAACATACCTCAGACAATAGTCTCTGTTTATACTTAAATGTATTTTTCTCCCAATTAAACTGTGATCTCTTAAATACGGTAACATACACTTAAACAATTAAACTTGTGTGGTGCCATTTGCGAGTACATATGTGTCATTCAAGGTGCAGTTCCGTTACCATGGTAACTGCTTTGTCCTCATGTAGCTTCTGTACACAACATTCCATTGTATTAATTCAGGATCTGTAAAACAAGCGACTGATGAACAGGTGATGTCATGATTATTGTTGCTATTATATCATGTCTATTGATTTGGATATCTTGTTGCTGTTTGCTTGTAGTGATGGGTCACTTTTAGACCACCTTTGGGCAGGGGTGAAATGATACATCAGTGTACCACTACATCGTAAATTTCTGTCAACTATACGATACACGGTACGTTTTCCTTAGTATCGATACAGGGCTATGCAGCTGCTAAAATATATTACTTTATACTCGTTTAATGACAGCTAGCCTTTCCTTAAGAACTTGCTCAGAAATATTTATTGTCAAGAAGTTTCCACTCATTTTGATGTAAATATGCATATTTTGATATGTATCGTATTGTTACCGATGTATCGAGAAGTATGGTATCATGACCTTGCTGTATCGTTTGACCCCTACCTCCGGGCATCCTATTACAGTGTGACAGGTTGCCTGTCAGTCGGAAACATAGGTGCCTGTGTCAATTCTAGTTTTGCTTGAATGATTGTTTAAAAATAAATCTATGAATGGTAAAACATGTATACATATCATTTAGAACATGATATATTTTTATGAATCACATCTGTGACTTTTGTCAAAATGTAACCTTACCTTGACTACCTCCCTTGGGTCAAGACTCAATATTTGATATTTAAACTGAAAATTCAGAGTAGTGAAATCTCAATCTCATTAAAATAGATGTTTTACTCCAGTTTGATACGTTTCTCTATCCAGACATTATTGTCCATATGATCTGCCAAATTACTTCCCTTGGTTCAAGGCTGTAGGTTAATGTTTTCAACATCTTTTTTAGTGTAACATGAGATATGAGTGTTTCTGTCCTATGTCTGTGGCAAGCCATCCCAGCCATTGTCACAAACTCTTAGTCAGCGATTTGTACTGCGTACTATGAATAGAAAATGTCATTATTTCATTTTGTAAAATACAATGAGATCATTACATGCACAATAAAACTATTTTCTCCAAATTTGAAGTTTCTTGATGCTTAAAGTTCTCCATCACATTTCACTTATAGGTCCAGTCTGTGTTTGAAAAATGAAATTATGCTCTATCAAGAGTTGTCTTTCTTTGATAAATATCTCAAACTGGACTGGAAAGCGAATATTTGTCACAGACAGTCCATTCACACTCAACAGTCAACGACAGTCTTACTTGGAATTGTCTTGGGTCGGGAGCTTGTATGAAGTGGTAGGGTGATGCCATCTTCTCACAAGTGGCCCGTGGTGCTGTGCAGAGTTGTGTCCCTTCGGCATTCCAGAATCCAATGATCATGGGTTTGAATCCCAGATTGCCCGACCTGAAAATGAGCAACTAGAGGCTCACGTCCCTGTAGTCTCACGGCAAGGTGGCCATGCAGTCATGTGATCAGTGTAGTTACAATTAGGGCTGGCTAAAAAGATCGATAATCAGGATTATCAACGATGGGAAGAACTATTAATTATCCATGTGAAATTGTTGTCATCGATAATAACTTTCATTAACTATTGTGACAATCTCATTAAAATCAGACCTAAGTCCTAGCTGTCACTAAACAAAGCTTAGTGGCAGCGAGAACTTAGGTCTGATTTTAATAAGATTGCTATTGTGACGAAATAAAGTTTAGATTTACTGGCAGTCAATAAACGTCGAACTATAAGGAGAAGAATTGTGTACGGGGAAGCTGTTCTGCATCTGGGTATTAATACGATGGTTGTACCTTTTCCATGAGGCTATTAGTCGCTGGGCAACATGTTTAGGAAAAATAATGTCAGAACTTTTTTGCGATTTAGTTCAGGTACCTCAAAAATAACACTGCGACACAATTAATGGAGGAACTTAAAGTGTTGCCAGATTTGTAACGTCAATACAACGAAATCATATTCTCTTGCGCTTAACAACATAACAGTAGATGTATCTATTCACTTGGCCAAGAACTGTTCCTGTGATGAGATATGTCTTGATAACATAGACGCTATCTTTACAAAGTCACATGATCAAGACGAGTCACATGACAGTCAAGATGGCGACCGCCGTGCATGTTGTGGTGTTGTCGGTGTTGTTGTCGGTGGTTGGAGGTGAAGATGCAAATAAGGTCAACGTTCACGCCGTATATGATGAAACCAGTGGACGGTTCCAGATACGTGAGGGACTCGACACAAAGCATGCCCTGGCTTGGGCACAGTTCATCAACTCTGTCAATGAGACTGGGTTAGTTCACGTTAATTGCCAAGTATATTGTCCTGGACATTCAAACATTGTGCTGAAATACGAGACGATATCATAAACTGGGAGGTTTTACCCTATAAATTAATTAATCACTTTTCTTCATGCCTTTCTTTCATTAATGTTTGTGTCAAATTAATATTTTATTTATATATTTTATTTTTAATTAAGTACATAGTGTGTTAAAGTATATTTTCAAATTTGATAATGCGGGTTTTTTTCACGCGCGCACTCACTCAATCATCTATCCTAATATTAATATTAATATATTAATATATTATTGGCTGAGAAAGTATTTATCATGTTAATCTTCTCAATTTATTTTTGAATTATACTGAAGTAATGTTGCACATGATCAGTCATAATCTGTGGAAATATGTATCATCATGGTGTCTGGAAGGGTTGGGTCGTTGCCATCAACCACCAGCTTGCCTAGCAGAGCCGTGATTTAATATTTACGTAGAGCCCTAAAGAAACTGAAATATTGCTGTGTAAGGCAACATTAATGTGAAGTGAAATATTGATTTATTAATATTGCTATGTCTTTTCCTTAAACCTTGTACACGTCTACTTCAAAGAGTGTCCCTGTCGGTATTACGTCAGAAAGCATGTGTACATTGTTATGGAAAGGATTAGTAAATATGATATGACAATGTCGCTGTGTTTAGTCTATATCCCTTCCGCTATGAAGGCGACCACGTGTTTGCGTGACGGGCGAGTTATTGGAGGAAGTACGGTGAACTAGGACGTGAAGTACTTTAGCACATTAAAGATCTTTTTCTCGTGTGACTTTGTCTCACTTTGAAATTTCTGAAAAAAGTTGTTTTCATAAATTTTAAATATTTGTTTGAATAACAAACAGTTTGTCTAAAATGGGGTGAGATGCCATTATGAACAGCTATTTCTGAAGGCAATATCCAGCAGGTTTAAGTAGCGTGACATTATTGTTCCCCTGTGTGACATGTAATTCTTGTCGTTATCAATGCAATTGTCATCAGTGTTTCAACCCTACACTCACTCACTCACTGACCACCCAGGACTAACACCGATGTCGCTTGTGAGCACCCTGACATCTGCTCCCAAAGCGGAGCTGCATCGAAGGAATATTTCTGTGCTCGTGGGTATTCTTTACACGGTCAAATAATTCCTGCTGAATTCTTGTACAAGGACCTGTAGCCTTTATACCGAATGATAGGATATATAAATATTTATCATCCAAAACTGGCTCCCATAGGAGATATCGCTTGGATGAGATATAGAGGTTATCACGCGAGTGTGTTTGGGGATGGTAAATATCCTGCATTAGCAATTAACATTGTATTTAGCGAGCCTCGGCAAGCCTCGGAATGTTTCCACTTTTATCATCTCGTGTTGATATATTTGACATCAAAAGACACTCGGGTGAGATTCTCTATATATTAGATGTACAATGAAATGTGATGTCAGTCAATGAATGAGTAGAATGAATGTGTAGAGTGTAGGTTATTGTAAGGGAGTATACAATTAAAGAATCCGCTGTGGCATGGTACAAATAAGCTTTGTTAAATAGTTAAATAACACTGTATGTAATTCTTAAATCATTAGGCAGGTACGTGGTTTGGAGAAGAAATACGAAATAAATGCGTCTTGGATTGACGTTACGAGGGCGCTCGCCTTTTGGATGTCTTTGAATTTGTTCATGACTTTTTGAATTAAATATGTTTTACCGTATTACACAAAGATGATTTGGCAAGTGTGTTATCGTATGGTAAATATCGGTATATTAGGAATACAACTCGTATTATTCAATCCTTTAGCGATCATAATACATATATTTTATTTTTAATAGATGATATTTACGATACGGAAGCACACTAGAGTAATAATCCCTTTATCCTATAATGTCATTCTTTTAATGACTGAAGTTTGAGCCATATTTTCCTTCCCAAAGGTAACGTGAGATGTCGCGTAGGAATACAAGGCATAAGTGAACCGCCTCATTGATGATAAGTGCCAGCTGATTTGCGCCAATGTTTGTTTATATAAGCATTCGCGCATCGGGCATCCTATATATCTATGGGACAATAAGCAATATTTTGCGATCACATAAGCAACGCATAACTATATGGAGCTCAGTCATAGTAGAACCTGATAGACGACCTCATTCACCTAATGTTGTATCGGATCGTGATACCAGATCGTATCTATATCGTATCTTTAGCACTTTCTATTTAAGAAATAAACGACCAGTGGGAGTTGTTTATTCCGAGTGGTTTGTTCTCCCTGCAGTATTTTGTTGTACGATAAACAACGACCACGAGTTGTTTATTTCTTATATGAGATGTCAAATTTATGTACAGCCGTTTAAAGGATGACGATAAAATGTACAAGCTTTAAAAATATTTACCCGCATTTCAATATTGATGACTCCCTCAAGAGAATCCGACTTCGGAAATGTCGGACAAGTCCATTTTATGCACAGGTGGGTATTTCCCGCATATTCTCACAATCCTCATGTTGATTACCTGAACCATTTCTCCCAATAGCGATTGTCATACCTCTCCCGCTTTTGGATGCGATCGTTCGGCCATCGCGTTTATCTGCGTTGCCAAGCTACCTCTATGGGGAACAATACACCAGACACTCCCCTCTCAAAAATAACTTCGTCCAATATACGACGTCATCAAGTTGCGAGCGCATGTTCGAATCTCCAGAAATGAGTGTGAGTATGGTTTTACGCCGCTTTTAGCAATATTCCAGCAATATCACGGCGGGGGACACCAGAAATGGGCTTCACACATTGTACCCATCCAGAAATGACGTCATGATAGAACAATGTTTTATCGTGAAATAAACCACGCTTCGTATGGCAAGCCGTTTTTTAACATTTATTACGCAATTACAGATATCTTCAATTGTTTTAAAGATATCTTGAAATGAATTTAAGATATCTTGAGTGGAATTGAAGATATCTTTAAAAAAATAGTTGCTGATATCTTAAATTCGATTATTGATATCAAAATATGATTTAAAGATATCAAAATGTCATGTTTTGTTATGATGTCATTAATTCAATTCCTGATATCTTGAAACTAATTACAGATATCAATAAGTAATTATTGATATATTCAATTGTTGCCATTATTAAAGATGTTACATTAATAATGTTACTTAAATTAGATAACTGATATCTATAATTGATATAAAGATATCATCAAAAGTATTAATGATATCTTTAATTGGATGTTTGATATCAGTAACGGTCAGAATTAATGACATCTGGAATTGAATTAAAGATATCTCTAATTGAATTAAAGATATCTGTAATGCATTTGTGGATATGTATAACTTATTTCAAGATATCTTGAATTGAATTAAGATATCTTGAATTTATTTCTAATATATCTATGTACTGTAGGATGGTAATTGTTTAATGATATCTTAAATATATTTAGAGATATCACAAACTAATTTGTTGATATCACCGTAACATTTTAAGATATCAGTAATTGTATTATGGATATCAGAAATGAATTTAAGATATCTTTAATTATTTTTTGATCTCTTAGAAACATTGATATCTTGAAATAAAATACCGATATCTCTAAAACAATTATTGGAGATATCTGTAATTCCGTAATAAATGTGAAAACGGCAATACGCTTCGTTCTTCTTTGTTCTTTGCGATTTATCGCGTAGCTATGATAAATACATACATATGTAGACGAAATATTTGGTTACTGAAACAACATAGGGCATAATAAAATCTTGTGCCTTTAACATTTAAGTCGAAATTAAGATTAATATTTCCCAAAGACTCACATTTTTAAGTCACCTTGACAATTTGCATACCATATTTAAGCAGGAAGCAGGACATGATTCCCCATAGCCATATATTCACTAAATACAACTAATCGTCATATATCCGTCCATTCCCTGTAGCCATATAGTCACTAAATACAGCTATTCGTCATGTATCCGCCCGTTCCCTATAGCCATATAGTCACTAAATGCGACTATTCGCCATATATCCGTCCGTTCCCTGTAGCCATATAGTCACTAAATACAACTATTCGTCCTATATCCGACCGTTCCCTGTAGCCATATATTCACTAAATACAACTATTCGTCATATATCCGACCGTTCCCTATAGCCATATAGTCACTAAATACAACTATTCGTCATATATCCGTCCATTCCCTGTAGCCATATATTCACTAAATACAACTATTCGTCCTATATCCGACCGTTCCCTGTAGCCATATAGTCACTAAATACAACTATTCGTCATATATCCGACCGTTCCCTATAGCCATATAGTCACTAAATACAACTATTCGTCATATATCCGTCCATTCCCTGTAGCCATATAGTCACTAAATACAGCTATTCGTCATACATCCGACCGTTCCCTATAGCCATATAGTCACTAAATACAACTATTCGTCATATATCCGTCAGTTCCCTGTAGCCATATAGTCACTAAATTCAACTATTCGTCATATATACGACCGTTCCCTGTAGCCATATAGTCACTAAATACAACTATTTGTCATATATCCGTCCATTCCCTGTAGCCATATAGTCACTAAATACAGCTATTCGTCATATATCCGCCCGTTCCCTATAGCCATATAGTCACTAAATACAACTATTCGTCATATATCCGACCGTTCCCTGTAGCCATATATTCACTAAATACAACTATTCGTCATATATCCGACCGTTCCCTATAGCCATATAGTCACTAAATACAACTATTCGTCATATATCCGTCCATTCCCTGTAGCCATATATTCACTAAATACAACTATTCGTCCTATATCCGACCGTTCCCTGTAGCCATATAGTCACTAAATACAACTATTCGTCATATATCCGACCGTTCCCTATAGCCATATAGTCACTAAATACAACTATTCGTCATATATCCGTCCATTCCCTGTAGCCATATAGTCACTAAATACAGCTATTCGTCATACATCCGACCGTTCCCTATAGCCATATAGTCACTAAATACAACTATTCGTCATATATCCGTCGGTTCCCTGTAGCCATATAGTCACTAAATTCAACTATTCGTCATATATCCGACCGTTCCCTATAGCCATATAGTCACTAAATACAACTATTTGTCATATATCCGTCCATTCCCTGTAGCCATATAGTCACTAAATACAACTATTCGTCATATATCCGCCCGTTCCCTATAGCCATATAGTCACTAAATACAACTATTCGTCATATATCCGTCCGTTCCCTGTAGCCATATAGTCACTAAATGCAACTATTCGTCATATATCCGACCGTTCCCTATAGCCATATAGTCACTAAATACAACTATTCGTCATATATCCGTCCGTTCCCTGTAGCCATATATTCACTAAATACAACTATTCGTCATATATCCGACCGTTCCCTGTAGCCATATAGTCACTAAATGCAACTATTCGTCATATATCCGTCCGTTCCCTGTAGCCATATATTCACTAAATACAACTATTTGTCATATATCCGACGGTCCCTACAGCCACATATCCACTAAATGCGACTATTCGTTATTCCCGATTATTCACTATATTCTTCATATTCTTCTTATTCCATACTTTGATGTTCTACTTTCACAGCTGGGGTTATCTTGAAGTCGGCACGCTGTATCATGAATACCATGCCAAGTACAACGACTCCATGTTGGCCTACGCTGCCGGCTTGGTGGAGGGCTACGTCACACGTGACCTCATCACCATGCACTGGGAGAACACCATGGCCGGCTACTGCGAGGAACCTTACTCCGCCTACTGCCGGCGTCTGCGCGACTTCCTCGAGACCAACTTAAACTGGATTCGAACCTCCATAAAAAACAACCCCAATGACCCCTACTGGCATCAGGTAAGTGAGTGAGTGAATGTCGTTGAACGCCGTATGGGGAGGAATCGTGCGGTAAAAAAACATATTATCACTAGCGGAATAAGCCGAGTGAACCCGAGTGTATTTTCTGTGTGTCCCAGGTGGAGATGTTCTACACCCAGCTGCGGGGGATGTCCGACGGCTACAACAATGACCCTCAGAGGCCCTCGCTGGACATAGATCCATTCGGGTTGTAGTAAGTACAGCAACAATCTCATTCAAATTAGATCTTTTAATCCGATACGATACCTCTCTGCCTCTTAAAAAAAACTTGTTTTGTGGACTGTTGTTATGGCCAATGTCCCAAAACGCTCAATGGGTTTACAGAGCATATACTCGAGTTGTCAAATCTACATACAGGTCTTGGTTCACAAAGGGAAAACAGAAGTTGTCACCAACACAGCACATTTTTTGTTTGTTTGTTGTTTGTTGTTTAACGCCGCACTCAGCAATGGTCCTGCTATATCTCAATGCCTCTCAAAGAAGTTATATAACGGCGGTCTGTGAATAATCGAGTCTGGACCAGACAATCCAGTGATTGACTTTATGAACATCGCTTCACGCAATTAGGATACGATGACATGCATCAATCAAGTCAGCGAGCCTGACCACCCGATCCCGTTAGTCGCATCTTACGACTAGCATACCTTATAACGGGGTTAATATTGCAATTAGGCCGCAAAAGACATCCATGGATAAAATGGTGACGCTTTTGACACGTGAGTAGAATTTCCGATCTTTTATATGGATAGAGGATGGTGGAGAAGTCTGGCGGTTAAAGCGTTCGCTTGTCTTGCCGAAGACCGGGGTTCGATTCCTCACATGGGTACTATGTGTGAAGCCCTTTTCTGGTGTCCCCCGGCGTGATATTGCAGGGACATTGTTATAAGCGGCGTAAGACTACACTCGCTCACTCATCTGAATAGACAGATGGGATTGTTCGATGGGACGCACATCTTCCCGAGGCAAGAGTGTCCAGAAGCCTACATCAAAGCCTAGAGACTAGAGACTTTGTTAGGCAAGAGGACACACTGAAGATGAGAAGAAAAGATAAGATGGGGGACGCCATGCTTTGTACATGTACATGTGCATCGTATCGACATAACCACGTATTGGTTGCTGATTTCACGTCCTAATTCATAAACAAGCGATTATGGCAATAGTACATTAACGAAACATATTTTATGATATTATTTGAAATGAAATGACATGATATTAAATGGTTTATTTGTAGGAAATACCCGAATTTAAATATCACAACAATATATTTTTTATTTTGCCTGTTTCTTTTCTCACTGACTAATACAAAGCTATAATATAAAACCGCAACGCCAGAGAATAACCAGTCTCGATTATCCACCTAAACTGATTCCTTTTGGCCTAAAAGGCAAAATAGCGGGTGAAACGTAAATGAATGGATCACTGAAAACCTGTGAGGAGATGAGGTGTCTCGAACAACAGAAGAACTTAATGATGGCAAAATGTTTTGATTTACAATGTCTTGTTGGTGTAGTTTCCTCTCCCGTGTCCAGCATGTTCCAGATCAGCGACGACGTGGAAGACCTGGAGATAGCGCTTCACAAACCCGGCGTCAAGGTCGACCAGCCACGACGTGGTCACTGTTCCGCCATCGTCAAGCTCAACCCCAAGTTCAAGGACGTCTTCGTCTCCCACAACACGTGGTCCCACTACAAAACCATGGTGCGCATGCTCAAGAGATACACCCTTCAGTACAGTCTGACTGACGCCATGCAGGGTAGGCTGTAGGTCAATGGAGTTGGTAATATATCATTTATTTATGGAGTTGGTAATATATCATTTATTACAAATACAAAATGTATTGTGGGAGCCATTGGTGAGAATAATACATATTCGAGCTCGAGCGTATATATTAAAATTGCGATCCGGAAACGCACGACGGTTATAATGTGTTTATTATATGAACTCCTGAGGTCATTTCACTCATTGAGAACTGTGATGATCCCGGTTTGAATAGGACTTCAGCAACCCAATTGCGTAGATCGATGCTCATGATATCAATCACTGGACTGTCTGTACCAGACTCGATTATTTACAGACCGCCGTCATATAACTGGAATATTGCTGAGTGCGGCGTTAAACAACAAAACAACAAAACACTCACTGAGGTCACTTAACAAACTGTATGAATACACTGTTACCTCAGCTACAAAGTGCCAAATAATTTACTGCTGTGTTTTGTTGACAGGAACACATGCCCCTCGGGAAACCCCTATCCGTACTTGTTTGTGATGTTAAGCAGTAGTGTATTGAGAAAGTATACATTGCATCTTCGTATAAAGCTTGATAAAAGTAGTTCCTCATTTGCATATTTATCGGATCATTATACGTTTATCAGATTGGTTATATCCCTCGATAACACTGTCCATGAAAAATACAGATATCAGTACACGTGCCTCAACCAATGAAACTATATACAGTCGTGGGATTTTCGAGGGTTAGGAGGAAGACATTTCTCTGACGTGACTGCAACTGTTGTAATTCGGTTAGGGCTTCACCAAAGTGGTTAACGAATAGTGGGATATCACGAATATAGAGATATTACGAATAGTCGGATATTACGAATATTCGGATAAGTCGCATAGTGTGCTGTTACGAATTGTCGGAAATTACGAATAGTGAAATATTACGAATAGTTGGGTGTGACGAATAGTGGAATATTACGAATAATCATATTAAGAATAGTGGGACATTACGAATAGTCGGAAATGACGAATAGTCGGATATGACGAATAGTCGGGTGTGACGATTAGTGGGATATTACTTATATTCGGATATGACGAATAGTGGGGAGAGTCGAATAGTGAGGTATAACGAATTGTCTGGTGTGCCGAATAGTAACGTTTTGATAACGTTTGTAAATGTTTGGTCAAGTCAAATGTATACATTCTTTGGCCAGCAGTTTATAATAAAACGGTGTCAAAACATGTGACGGAATTCCGACGGGGACTCTATTTGAGGAATCCATTGCAGGTATTTCTTTCCACATTTAGCTGACGTGCCGTAAACGACATCTCAAAGTGGTCTATAACTCAATTCACTCACTCACTCCACTACCTCCTTGTGTCTTCAGGTATGCTACCCATGGGCAGCGTTTCCGCGTTCTCCTCCTACCCCGGCTACCTCGTCTCCTCCGACGACTTCTACGTACTCTCCTCCTTGATGGTAGGCGAACATTACGTTAACCTATTCAGGGACGGTGGGGTAGCCCATAGCCCAATGGTGAAAGTGTTTGCTCATCTGCTATCAAGTCGGGTTCGAACTCTTTCGTGTTTACAATGTTTCAACCAATTTCTTGTGCCCCCAGCCTTGATATTGTTAAAATCATTGTATAGCCATACTCACCGATTTATTTGTATGTATATTCATACTTGTTTATTTTAAAGTAAATCTTATTTAGCGCATTTTTAGAACCATTCCAGGCAAAACACATGGATGAAGGACAGAAATGGGCTTTGGGCATAAAACCCAAAAGGGGAGTCAAACCTGGTCCTCCAGCGTGTTGGGCCAACACTTAATAAAAACCACAAGGCTTCCCCACAGCCAGTTAGACATGGATGATGATATTTTTACTTTCGCTGCATTTATATCATAGTTAATTAATCCCAAAATGAGGCTTCCATTATCACGCTATGTTCAGGGTCACTTGGGTTTACTACACGTGAGTCCCAACTGTGCAGACTGAGAAGAATCCATTGTGACGTTTTTTGGGTCACGTGTTACTTTTGTCATCCAGCCTCGATGGATCACTCGATGGCTTCCTTTTAACGCCTTACCGACAGTGTGGAAGGTTGTAGGGTTGCCTATAGAGGTTAAGGAGTGTGCGACTCAGCCAAAGATGCGGGTTCGAGTCCCTATATAATATATATAATACAAGCTGCCTGTGATGCGCTATAAGGTTAACAGTCACATTACCTACCGGGTACCCCTTCACTGCTGGGTTAACAGAGGCACACCGCACGTGTAACATGTGCTTCAGTGTGGGGCAGGAACGAAGCTCACGTCAACATCTGGCGAACATGGTCACACATTCAAGACCAATGTAGCTGAACTTCGCCTGATTAAAAATTGTGCCATGGTGCTGTACACAGGACCACATTCCACCACATGCCAAATCGTAACCCATTTTCGAGTCACCGCCGTAAAACTGCTGAATATTGTCAAGAAGAACGTAAACCCAAAGTAATAGACTATCCAGAAATAAAAATGTCATAAAATCGAAAGATGGTGTTGTGTTGTCGATTGCATCATGTTTGTTGACTTCAGGTCTCTATGGAAACAACCATCCCCAACAACAACCCCGCCCTGTACCAGCACACGAAGCCCGAGGGGTGCGTGTTGGAGCCCGTGAGGGTGTGGGCGGCCAACAGACTTGCCACGACGGGACAGGAGTGGGTGCTTAACTTCACCCGCTACAACAGCGGCACGTGAGTCCACTACACAACGGGAGCATCGGTCGCCCAGTCGTCCAAAGCGCTGCAATGCGCTGTACAGAGTTGCCTCTTCTGAGGCGTTTCAGAAACCCATGATCATGAGGTCGAAAGCAAGATACAGTTTGATTACAATTCTGGATGTTATGTGTAGATTCAAAAATTGAAACAATGTGTTAACCCATAAATCTGCACGTAAAAGCACGGACCCAGTAGCCTGAAGCGCGGCAATTCGCTGTGCGGAGCCACGTCCGGGAAGAAATCATGATCATGGGTTCGAACCCTCGATTCAATTTGGTTATGTTTGCAGGTTCTCCAGCACCAGACATGGCTTAATACTTTTCATCGTGCGCCGTTGGTGAAGAGCGTTGTTCATAATATCAACCACTGGTTTTATACACGATTTACGTGTCACCGTGATGTAGCTGGAATATTGCTGATTGTGACGTACAAGAGCAAATATATCATTGTATTTATCAGTCGATCGACCAGTGGTCAATGACAAGACTTTCAAATTGTTGGCATAAATGAGTGAGTGAGTATGATTTTACGCTGCTTTTAGCAGTATTCCAGCAATATCACGGCGGGGCGTTGTAGAAACTTATAGTGGGAAATTTATGCGATATCTGACGGATCCAGTTCGTTCACACAGGAGATCAGTAAATCATAGATGTGAGTTGGTTATTATTTTCACTTTATCGCCCAGTTGTAGTATTATTACCACTAATGGAGACTTTGAAGAGCATATATTTGGCAGTTTATTTGAGTTATCTCCCTTTGTCTTATGTTTGAAACATTACAAAATGGGGTCTCTTTCAGATGTTTTTGTTTTTCAACTTGTTTTAACTGTGTGTTACAGCTACAACAACCAGTGGATGGTTGTGGACCAAAAGTTAGTCCAAGAAACTATACCCCCGGGGGTACTGACGATCGTAGAGCAGATGCCGTAAGTACTCACCCTGTGTGCAGTGGCTATAGGTACTGTAGGAGATTCAACAGCGTATTGTACGCAGGGTCAATAACGTATTGTAGCATACCTCCATGTCAGGATGATTATATCTGACTGATCCACGTGATCTTGATAAAATACTATCTATCCCACCTTGGAGGGAAATAAACATCTCAGCGGGGGAATAAAGCTCTTATGCCCCTCCACGAGCAAGTCAGACTACACGTGGATTTTTAAGAGGCAGAATAAATCCTTTATATCCCGCTTCAAAGCAAAAAGCAACACGCTTTTTCCGAGTCACGTCACATCGCGCAAGCTAACCTCAACTCAATCTATCAGGGGGCACGGGTGGCCCAGTCGTCTAAGGCGCCGCGATTCGCTGTGCAGAATTGCGTCCCTTGAACACGCCAGAAACCTATGATTGTGGGTTCGAATCCCGGTTCGCCCCGATTATGTTTCTAGGTTTGTCAGCACCATACCCGTGCTCGTGCACGTGGGTTTCACCGAAGTGGTAAACGTCTGAGACCTGCATCACTTCGGGCTTTCCTCCCACATTAAGCTGACACGCCGTGATATAACTGGAATAATGTTAAAAGCGGCGTTAAGCCCAACTCACTCACTCAATCTATCAATTTTGAATTTATTTGAATTCTTTTAAATCATATTAAAATATTCAGATTCAGATTCAGATTCGTTGTAGCAGGAACACTCGGGGTACATGGGATTTTTATGCGTCTCTCGTTAGGTTTTATACCACTTGCCTCCAGTTCGTGGCTCCAGCTCGTTGGTGGGATGGGATAATTGTGAAGCCCATTTCTGACGTGTCCATAATGTTTTAGCGTGACGTTTGTTAAAACCATTCTCACTCATACAACTTAAGATAAATAGAATGAATACAAGCAGAGACCATGAAATAATATAATTACAGATATTGTCTCTGATTCAAGTTGACGAATGAAGGTCAATGCTAAAACGAAGCCGTTCTGATTTAGGTGAAGACCTCTGGTTGTGTCCAACATTACACACAGTAACCTTCTGCAGCCGAAATAATGTGCAGAATCTCTGAAATGTTGTCAAATTAATTATGTGTTATCTGTTAATAACTGTTTAATTTCAGGGGCTACGTTGAATATGCAGATGTGACTGACGTCTTAACGAAGAACACCTACTGGGCCAGCTATAACATTGCGTAAGGCCAAAAAGAAATATGACTGTTTCCGGTTTCTCGACCGACCCTTTTCTGAAGCCAGCGATAATAAATCTCTTTGCTTGTTTTTTCTGGTGGGCACCATCGCTTATATCACCATCTCGGTGCTGTCCGTATTTTAATGCCACGGGTAAATGTGTAGATACATCCGTTATTTCAGAAAGAGGAACCCGTCGATCCTGTTCTTTTTAAGCAAGTGTCATAAAGTACTTGAATGAATGCTGTTCAATAATAATAAGAACAGTGAGGCTATTCGTCTGTTGCCCATGCTGTGTACATGTCGTGGGGTGTAATTTCGTTTGACTGCTATTTCGTTTCCGGTTCAACAATTCGGAGCACTCGATTCATACTTTTTAATGTAACCTCGTGCTGTCCGTATGTTGACATTGTGCCATGTTTGCCTTGCATTTGCCTATGACGATGAAATAACAATCTCATTAAAATCAGATCTTAGTTTTGGCTACCGCTAAACAAAGATCTGAGGACATCCCATTACGGGTCACGTCAGAATGACCTTTCGCGAATTTTGACCGACCAATGAAATGACTGACAAGAAATCGACATTAGCCAATCAGAAGGCAGCTTTCTCGAGATTTACGACGCCATTTTCAAACTGGCGACTACTCTTCGAAACATATTTTGACGTATTCTCGATTAACAAAATTAAAACTGATAAGAAGAACATTCTGTTATGGCTTATAGATGGCCTAGATTGTATGGATATAATCATAAAACCCGTATCTGTCGTTCGGAATACCCCGTGTTAAATATTTCGTGGTTGCATGATTAGAAAACACATTGCGACTGTCACTTTCATGATCTGGTAAGCGACGCTCTGATTGGTTGGATGAAAGGTCGTTCTGACGTGACCCTTAATGGGATGTCCTCAGATCTTTGTTTAGCATAGCGAGAACTAAGATCTGATTTTAATGGGATTGATGAAATAACGGACTGTCATTAAATGGTCTTGAATGACTTCTGGTTGCTTCCACGTCTTCTTGTCAGTTGGTGTATGCAATTTATGACACGGCCACATTTAAGTGCATACTTGAAACCTCATACGTTATTGAAGATTTCTCTGTACTTGTGCTTAGCGTGAAATGTAGTTTAAAATATCAGGCAAATTAAAAAATAGCTGAATTTAAATTTAAATAACTGATTTAAATCAATTTAAATGTTTTAGTTTGCTTGTAGCATAGCGTTGTTTGATGGGCGGAGCAGGCGCATTGGTTACGTTACTTGTAGGTCTTTGGTGCCGTGTGGGGATGGTAACTATGGTAACAATTCGTTGAACTCGAAATAATAATTTTGTGGCCTAATGTTTTTTGCAGATATTTCCCTAAGATATTCAACATGAGCGGCCAACAACAGTTTGTCGACAAGTATGGGGACTTTTTCACGCACGACATGTGCCGCCGTGCTCAGATATTCCGCCGCGATCACCACAACGTCAAGGACAAAGAGACGCTGTATCAATTAATGAGGTACCGCATCAATCGTTCTCCAGGATGATATTCTGTTTGACTGCACGACGCTCCATTCCTGATCCAATATCTATACTTTTTTTTGGGGGGGGGGGGGGGGGGGGGGGGGGGGAACAAGCTCATTGGACTATATACAAAACTGGACTACAATGTTAGAGTTGTAACACATCACCAAGTTAGTTATATTGTTGAAATACCTTTACAGTGAGTGAGTGAACGAGTATGGTTTTACGCCGCTTTTATCAATATTCCAGCAATATTACGATGGGGGACACCAGAAATGGGCTTCACACATTGTACCCATGTGTTGAATCCAACATGGCCACCGCCCCAAAATACCTTTACAATTAGTGTACACCGTCTCCCTTAAGATGAAAGTGTGGCAACCCCAGTACCCCAACCCCAGCCCCAACCCCACCACACACACTCATCTCCCCCACCGCGTTTTGTCATAGCAGTGAATGAGTGAGTGGTTACATTTCAGTTCTTCTGCGTCAGATACATATTGGAGGAAAGGACAGATTTCAGACGTTCACCACAACCACGTTTATATGATAGATCAAGGATCATAATTAGTCGGTCATTCTTACCCATACAATGCCTATCCTGACATAACTAAGGGACACAACTCTGCACAGCTAATTTGCGGCATGATTACCCCTGATTGCTCCTGACCTTTGTCATTCGGGTGAGACCACGTAGACGTAATAATAACGTTTTGCCATTTTCAGGTACAACGACTTCCAACACGACCCCCTGTCTAAGTGCAACTGCACCCCTGGGTACAGCGCCGACCTCGCCATCGCAGCTCGCGACGACCTGAACGACGAAACCGGGACCTACCTCTACGACGACCTGGGATACGCTTTGGAGGGAGCTATAGACGTGAAGGTCAGATTTAGAATCATGAGTGAGGGAGCATAACTAGTTGTTGTTACTATTAAAGGAGAGCTATATCTGTTGAGTCGTGGTGGTGTTGTTTGTTTGTTGTTTAACGCCGCACTCAGCAATATTACGGCGGTCTGTAAATAATCGAGTATGGACCAGACAGTCCAGTGATTGACATCTTGAGCATCAATCCACGCAATTGGGATACGATGACATGCATCAACCAAGTCAGGAGTCTGACAACCCGATCCCGTTAGTCGCCTCTTACGACAAGCATAGTCGCCTTTTACGGCCAGCATGGGTTGCTGGGCCCTGTTCCACAAAGCGATCGTAGCGCTACGACTAGACTCAAATCTAGTCTCTGAAATGACCATATCGTACATAAAAAAAACAGTTGTTCAGTTATCTTAATAAAAATATAATAAAAAGGAGCCCAGTGACTCTCTTCATTTTCAGATACTGCAGTGATCTAGACTTGCCAAACATTATAGACTTGCATGGGCTGTATTTGATATATATTTGTATCAGGGTCTGTAAGACAGACTACGCTACGACTGTCGTAAGCCTATGCTAAAGTATGAGAGTTACGATCATCTTAGCGCTACGATCGCTTTGTGGAACGGGGCCCAGAAGACCTATTCTACCCCGGATCTTCACAGGTATGTAATTAGGGCCTGTGTGAAACTGTAATTATGGTCATCATTAACTATTGGTTTGACATGCACGATCAAATCTAAGATTGCAGAGTGAACAACGAAATCAAAATTGATAGGAGTGCGAAAAGGCCAGCGCTTAGTTCCCCTTTAACTGTGGTGTGGCGTGTAGCCTCCTCTATATATCCAGGGGTCGCCTTTAGGTAAACCTACACTGACCCCTTGAGCCATTCCCGTGGTTCTCGCGATCTCAAATTACCTGCCCTTGATTTTCATTAGCCAATTTGATTTGCTACGCTACTCAGTCTAAGGAACCAATCAGGATGTTAGTTACAAGCCAGCCTCAATGTTAGGTTGGCATTGTCAACAACATGGCGGCAAGTCCCATTGACTGCGATAATTTGCGAGAAATTCAACATTGAAATACTGACTGACACGTATAAGAAAGCCCTCAGAAATGTTTTTTGACGGTAAGGGTGTCTTCATGTCCATTAAATCTGGCGGTGGCTTAGGTTTCTAGGTCATACGAGTTACCTCCTTACCCATTTCTTTAATTTCCTTATCTCGACGTTTCATTGGTCGGTTTGTAACTCGCATTCTGATTGGTCCGTTAAGGGTTAGATGTACAGTATATTTTTCTCACTGTCACAGATGGTAGAGACGTGGGAGATGCAGTGGCTGTTGTTTGATGCCGTCTCGGGGCCCACGTCTGACCAGCAACCGCCGTTCCAGTGGTCAAAGGTCAAGGACGCAGACGAGTACCCCCACTTCGGACAGCCAGACATATTCAACTTTAAACCAGTGTCATTTAACGGAACACTAATACCTCCTACCACGCCCGCTTGGTACCCAGAAACATGACATACAGTCAAACCTCGTTTATCCGGACGGTACCGTTCAGTGAAATCGTCCGGATTAACAAATGTCCAGATTAATGAATCAGGTTACTAATTATTTTGATCGTCACAAATGTCCCTAACATAACAGGTTTACAGAATAAACGAAATTTCAATGTATTCATGTTACTAAATAAGATTTTTTATTTATATTTTCTAGCTCAAGTTTTTTAATGTTATGTTATGTATCGTATAATAAAATTAATCAATATTCTACCACGACTATGAAGACTTCGTGACTATGATTGGTCAAAAGAAGATTAAAATCAGGTCAAAATCTTGTCGATTATGGTTATGTTTTACGGGGGACCAATTGGTATATAAGTACAAATAACCAGTTAATCAGTTTTTTGAAAAACAAGTTAGTTCCGCGTTTTTGTCACTATTTCTATCACCTGTCACCCCTACAATGGAAGATGTCGTGTTGATTTGCTAAATGACTTGGTTGAGTCCAAATCAGTCCAAATATGCAACACGTGGTGTCGAAACGAAGGATATATCAATACATGGTTATTTCATCAGTATTCCTTTTGAAAAACGATGTCTTTTTGAAACCATTATTTTGAACTAGTCAAGTAAATAACAAGTAATTCATCTTGAACGTCTATACGTTTGGTACTGCCTGTGACCCCTTTTCGGCAGGTTCTACGATAGCTGGCATATTTGCCCGTGTGTACGCTTACATGTGTCGTGGTAGAATGAACATATTTCGTATTTATACATTGAAAACCACGCGCTAAAGCTTTCGGTTCCACATTAATAAAGGAGGTATCTAATCTACGGTTAGATGACCTCAAATTTCAAAACAAAGTAGGTTTACCTTCTAATTTAAGACACCTGTTTGATGATGGGTGTTTCGTTTTGTTTATCAGTAAGATGTCAGATGTAATCAATTATTACCTTAAACAGTCAACGAAATAATCATGTTAATCTCTCTCATATATGCAGTTGTTGTTACTGATAATCCTCCACCTACTATATATATTTTGTACCATGTTTATTATTCTGCCTTGCTTGACAACGGTATTAGGATCTTTTCCGAAACGTCACCATTACAGTAAAATAAAGAAGTTATCCATAAATTGTCTACTTTGTCATCCTTCAACTTCTAAGAAATCTAAAACAATTCAATTTTGAAATATTGGTTACGGAAAGAGTGAGTGATAGAGTTTGGTTTAACGCCACTTTTAGCAATATTCCAGCAATATCACGGCAGGGGACACTAGAAATGGGTTTCACACATTGTACCCATGTCGGGATTCGAACCCGGGCCTGCGGCGTGACGCGAACGCATTAACCAGTAGGCAACCCTACCGCCCCGGTTACGGAAATGTGCATGTGCATATATACATGTAGGAAACTGTCGACTGTCACTGTCTGGATCCTGTAATTTGTCTCTCGTTGAAACTGGGATACTGTCTATTGGCTACACAGAATGCATTACGTGGAACACATGACGATATTTAACTGGCGCAGTGTTTTAACCAGTTTCCCATTGAGGCTTTATGTGACGCAAATACTTGTTTTTTATGGATCCGAAAAAAACCTTGACTGAGTATGAATGTGATTAGAAAATGTGATCATAGGACTTATATCTCACAATAAACCTATTTTCTCCGTATCTGAATTTTGTTCAAAGTCCTCCATTAAACTCTGGTCATAGACGCTGTGTTGGAAAAAAAATGATGCTCCGTGAAGAGTTGTCGTTCTTTGATTATGACGTCAAACTGGAACAAGGAGTGAGTGTTTGTCACTGACAGATTGAGCAGCCTGTTCCGTCTCTTGAGTCAGTGATCTGGCTTTGAATTGTCTTGGGTCGGGATCTTGTCCTCTTCCCGAGGCAAGGGAGTTTACTGACTATACAAGTCCAGTTTCCACCCTTGCCGAACCTGACTGCAATTATGGAGTCATATTGTGGCTGGACAAACGAGTCTATGCATAGTCCAATCAAAATCGCGTTACGAAATCGACATCCGGTTCGCCAAGTGCCGTGCAGATTTCGGTCGATTGCTGAATTTGTAAAGCATGTGTACCACCAACTCGGCGTCAACAGATATTTTCCAAATCTTTAAATGTTTCTAATCAAGGTGCTCACGTGATTTGATGGACTTCGCGAAGTAAGACTCGTTTTATTACAAAATAGATTATTGATTATCGATATGATCGTCTTGACTAGGCAAGAAAATGTTTGGAGAAAATGCAAGTGATATCAGAGGTGGAATCTGATTGGTCAATAGGAGGGACATAGAAGAGCCATAACTTATAATAGCCACTGGTGGCCCTACGATCAAGCCTGGCCACTTCAGCCTAGTCCGGCAAGGTTGGAAACTGGACTTTTACAGTCAATTAACTCCCTCGCCTCGGGAAGATGGGATTTTGTATGAAGTGCTGATTGGATGCTATCATTCTCCCCACAGCAAGGTTGCACAAAAAGGTGTTGCAATTTGCTGTGTAGAGTTGTGCCCCTTATGTATTCCAGGATCCAATGATCGGGGGTTTTAATCCCAGATTGGACGACCCTAATTATGATCTTGGTTTGTTAGCACCCTTCCCGTGAGTTACACACCTTTTCAGACGCCTCAGTAACAACCACAGCCAAGCATGAGGTACTAGGGTCCTGCTCACGAATCCCTACAAGGAGGAGAATTGTATTCAGGGGATATTGTTTCAGAACCTTTGACTAAGTAGTTCCTATACCTTAAGCATACTGATACAAGATCCCAGAGTGGTTGCTCCTAGAACTCTAATGTCAATGCTGCGAAATCGGCACAACACTCATCTATTAAAACCTATTTTGCTCTCAACAACAACAGCAACAACAACAACAACAACATAACAATGACATGTAGGGTGTCACACATGAACAAATGCCAATAAGCGGCAGTAGGTCTGAGTATGTTGACAATGTGATTAACAGCTGAAGAGCAAGCTGTTTATGCCTATGAAACAATGATTGGATGATTTATGAAACTGAAAAATGTATAACGACTTTTACAAACAAAGAAGGTGATGAACACCAAAACACGCCTGAACGCAACCAGTGTTTAGCCCATGCACGCACCCATCATGGCAAGTAGATAAGGGTATAAATTGTTGAGTCCAGAAGCAACTGAACTGCACACTCAGAAGTTGACAATGCGACGTTTCTGTTCCTACTTTTATCTCTTATTATCTTCGTGATACGTTGCTGAGTAAATTTTTTCACCTGGCCATGAACTTGTCCTGTACATTTGATATGTACAAAGTCACATGATCAAGACGAGTCACATGACAGCAAGATGGCGACCGCCGTGCATGTTGTGGTGTTGGCGGTGTTGTTGTCGGTGGTTGCAGGGGAGGCAGCTCAACCAGTCACCGTTCACGCCGTGTATAACGCAACCAGTGGGCGGTTCCAGGTACTCGAGGGAAACGCCACAGTGGATTCCCTGGCGTGGGCACAGTTTATCAACTCCGTCAATGAGACCGGGTGTGTTAATCCCATTTGCATTGTATCGTTTCCTGAACGTGTTTGTTCAAAGCATTCACACATTGTTGGTGTTACTTACAGACGGTATTGTACATTCTGGCTATATCACCCTTTGTGTGATCTTTCTTTATCAACACAAAAACGTAAAAGAGCCACTTTAGAAGCATAATTATATATTGATAAAACAAACATAGAAAAAAAATGAAATTTTTTTTCTTATTTTATTTTCTCATAATTTCGATTATTTTCTCGAAATTGTAATTATATTTTAAAAAATAGTAATTTCAAGTAATTGAAATAGCGAGAAAATATTCAGAATTTCGATTTAATAAACTCAAATTGAAAGAACGAGAAAATAATCGTAATAACGGGAGAAAAGAATAGACAATTCGATGTTTTAAAATACATTTAATATAAAAAATAAAAAGAACATTAAAAATTTCGAAAAAATAATTGAAGTAGTGAGAAAAACACATCTATTCATGATATCCTACTATTCGTTATAATCGCCTATGACTATTCGTAATATCCCACTATTCGTCACACCAGGCTATTCGTAATATCCCACTGTTCGTAATAACTGATGTTATCGATACCGTCATGATCCCCGTTACCAGATGGGGTTATCTAGAAGTCAGCACCCAGTATAATGACACTGAAACAAAGAAGTACAACGACTCCATGTTGGCCTACGCCGCCGGCTTGGTGGAGGGCTACGTCACACGTGACCTCATCAAAATGCACTGGGAGAACACCATGGCCGGCTACTGCGACAAACCTTACTCCGCCTACTGTCAACGTCTGCGCGACTTCCTGGAGACCAACCTAAACTGGATTCGAACCTCAATCAAGAACAACACCGATGACACCTACTGGCATCAGGTACTTGAGTGGTGTAGTCAATCCCAGCTGTAGGGTGGCCGTTTGTGAGCCACGTCCCATGTCCCTGGGTAGTCTGTCGCCCAGGCTCTAGGGAATAAATTAAAAAAGGAGTCCAACTCAAGTCTAGAATGATTTGGCAAGTCTAGTTTGCCTCAGGATTAAGGATTGTTCTGGGCTCAATTTGGATTTTGATGGGTTTTTTGTAATTTATTGATATATTATAAAATAAAATAACTTTATTTCTATGGATAAATGTCAGTCCTCGGGGTAACGTGACATACAATGGGCCAAGTCACAGGGCGTAACCACCCGATTCCCACGAGGCCCCTAACAACAGGCAAAAATAGGGGTGGGGCCTACTGTAACCCGGGTTCCCTCAAGGGTAACTGACTATATCACAGCGGCCGGCAAACAGTGATTGTCAGCATGAGCACCGAGCGAGTGAATGAGTATGGTTTTACGCCGTGTTTAGCAATAGTCCAGCAAGAACATGGCGGGGAAACCAATGATGAGATTACGTCTGACTCTCTCTCCCTGGTGGAGATGTATTAAGTAGCGGATATAGCCGAGTGTACCCGAGTGTACCCGAGTGTATTTTCAGTGTCCCAGGTGGAGATGTATTAAATAGCGGATATAGCCGAGTGAACCCGAGTGTTCCCGAGTGTATTTTCTGTGTCCCAGGTTGAGATGTTCTACACCCAGCTGCGGGGGATGTCCGACGGCTACTCCAATGACCCTCAGAGGCCCTCGCTGGACATAGATCCATTCGGGTTGTAGTAAGTACAGCGGCTGACTTCAGATCAGGTCGGATTGGTATCCGACATTAACATGAATTGCAGGCAAGGATGACCCAGCGACCTACAAAGCGCAGCAACCCGACGTGCCTCCCTTAGGTGTGCCAGGATCTGCGGGTTGTGGTGGGATTACTGATCCCCCCCCCCCCCCCCCTCCACCTCCACCACGCCCCATAGCTGCGTTTTAAGTCATACTGTTAAGAAATTTGTTCACATAGGGCAAAGTTGCTATTTTTTATCAACGTAGTAGTTCCACAAACTCCAAAAACGTAAATATGGTAACATTTTGAAAAAGGAATATTCGTAAAATACGTGATATTTTATGGTTTATTTGCAAGATGTTCATTTGCCAATGGTAGAAAGGAGATTCTGTAAATTTAAAAAAAATCAACATTTTTTGTGATACACCTTCTTGTCTCGTTGACAAAAGAAGAGGTGTAAAACGCGAAAATACGTTGATTCAACAATTTCAGTTAAGATTTCTTGTTGCTGTATTTTCCCTCCCCCGTGTCCAGCATGTTCCAGATCAGTAACGATCTGAGGGACCTGGAAGTAGCGCTTAACAAAACCGGCGTCAGGGGCGACCAACCACGACGTGGTCACTGCACCGCCTACATCAAAGTCGACCTTGAGTGGGAGTTGCTCTATGCCGCCCACAACACGTGGACCAGCTACACAGACATGCTGCGCGTGCTCAAGAAATACACACTACAGTACAGCATGACTGACGCCTGGAAGGGTGAGTTATCGACACGACATTTGTCTTCTTGTCACATGACTTAGGCGATTGTTAGTTCACAATGAAAAGGCAAGTCATATTTAGTATATATTTTTTCTTGCGTGATTTTCCCGATCTTAGTGACATTAAGATAGACCGAAAGTTGTTCCATCATAACGTGATATTTCACTCCAGTGAAATATCGATTTTATATTTGAAGAGAAATATAGTATTTCATTACAAAATGCAAAATGAAGACACCACTAGTTTCAGTATCGTCAAATATCATATATCATAAATACACAGCCACGGGTGGCCCAATCTCATTAAAATCATTTCTCGCTGCAAAGATCTAAACAAAGATCTGAGGTCATCCCAATTACGGGTCACGTCAGAACGACCTTTCGCAAACTTTGACCGACCACTGAAACAACTAACAAGAAGTCGACATCAGCCAATTAGAAAGCAGCTTTCTCATTTTTACGGCACTCGTTTCAACCTGGCGACTTCCATTTCAGACTACGCTTGAAAAATATGTTGACACAGTTCTCGATTAAAATTTTGAAAACTGAACAAACGAACATTCCGGAATGTCTGATATATGGTTGAGATTGTAGGGCAGTGCTTCCCAAGTACTGTGCAACGCCTACCCCATTCAAATGTTTAGCGTGACCTGTTCTTCAGAGGGGACTCACTCACTCACTCACTCACTCCAATACCTCCTTGTGTCCCCAGGTCTGTTGCCAAAGGGCAGTGTGTGGACGTTCTCCTCCTACCCCGGCTACCTCGTCTCCTCCGACGACTTCTACGTCCTCTCCTCCTGGCTGGTAGGCGAACGTTTCTCCAAGCATCGAGGTTTTGGACTTATTCAGGGAAGTTGGTGTAGTCCAGTGGTTAAAGTGTTTGATCAGCCGATACCTAGTCGGGTTCGATTCCTTTAAGGTTTACAACATTTGAACTATTACTTTTGTCCCCAGTCGTGATGTTGTTAAAGTGAGTGAGTGAGCATGGTGTTACGCCGCTTTTAGCAATAGTCCAGCAATACCACGGCGGGGGACACCAGAAATGGGCTTCACACATTGTACCCATGTCGGGAATCGAACCCGGGTCTTCGGCGTGACGAGCGAACGCTTTAACATCTTGTCTACCAAACCGCCCCTGATATTATTAAAAGCGTTTTTAAACCATACTGATTTATTCATGTATAGTTTTATTATTGTTGGATATTCTTGGCATGTTATGACGAGGGACACATAAATGGGCTTCACACATTGTGTCTAAGGAAGACAATTCAGCTCCTTAACTATTAGGCAATCCAAGCATCCCTGTTAGGTGCAGTAATTCGGTTTTTTAGAGTTGCGTCCCTTGGGCACGCCAGAAACCTAGGATTGTGAGTTCGAATCTCGGTTCGCCCCCAATTCTGTTTCTAGGGCTGTCACCACCATACATGTGCTCGTTGGTTTCACCAAAGTGGTAAACGCCTGAGACCCGCGTCACTTCGGGCTTTCCTCCCACATTAAGCTGACACGCCGTGATATAACTGGAATACTGTTAAAAGCAGCGTTAAACTCAACTCACTCACTCACTCTTTTTGCATATACACTGGATCACTCACTCACTCATTCAGGTACTGTTAGAGAAGGGGGTGGTATTAATACCATAGCTGCAGTTATATTGCATCTCTTCTGGAATAATGTCAAGGAACCCTTAACGATACTCATCAGGGCTTACTCCAAGCGCTGTAGAATCCTAAAACCAGGTTAACATTGCCGTCACTGGGGTTTTCTTCACATTGGTCCTAACTGATAATTATAACACTGGTAGCGTGTGCGGAAAGGGAACTTTTGATCTTCAGGTATCACGCGTTGGCTTCAAATTAAACCTAGTTGGTGGAGTAGCCTAAAGGGTTAAGAGTGTGCTCGCCCGCTAGAGATCCGGTTTCGAGTCTCCATATTGGTATACGTCCTTGAACCTTTCTCGTGTACACATTTTGTAAGTGCTGGAATATTGCTACAAAGTAGATACATGTAATTATAAAATAGAAAGATTGTGCGTTTGTTGACTCCAGGTAACCATGGCAACAACCATCCCTAACAACAACCCCGCCCTGTACCAGCACACGAAGCCCGAGGGGTGCGTGTTAACGCCTGTGAGGGTGTGGGCGGCCAACAGACTTGCCGAGACGGGACAGGAGTGGGTGCTCACCTTCATCCGGTACAACAGTGGCACGTGAGTCCATCACTCAGTTGGGACACCTGTGGCCCAGTCGTCCAACAGTGCTTGACCATTCCAGTGTCACTAGAACATCACAGAATATTCCACATGTGTCTATAACGCTTGACATCCATCCATGCTATTCCGGAAGTTTACAGATAATTCGAGCGTCTAAATAAAATAACTACTTCACCACTGCTTACATTAAACAGACCATCAACCATCAACTGATCATTGTCCAAATACAATGCAATGAACTTCTACCTAAACAACAGAAACAATGTAATACAGTAATAATCATTGTTTTACAATAAATTACATTGCAATATAACACTAAGTTTGTCAGCACCAAACCCCTGCTCTTGGTTTTCACAAAAGAGGTCAACCTCTTATACCTGCATCTTTTCTGCTTTGCCTCCTTATTAAGCTGACTCACTTAAACCAATCTCACTTACTCCGTCACTCACTGCCCAGAATCCTTTGTTTGTTGCTGTGTTTGTTGTTTAACGCCGTCTGGGCCAGACAATCAAGTGATTGACATCATGAGCACCTGACCACCCGATCCCGTTAGTCGTGTCTTACGACAAGTATAGTCACCTCTTTCAACGAGCACGGGTTGCTGAAGACCAGTTCTAACCGAAATCTTCGCGGGTTTATTTAATTTCGTTTTAGATATGTCAGCTCTTTTTTGTTTCCAATTTGGTTTTTTTTTTGTTTTTTTTTGTTACAGCTACAACAACCAGTGGATGATTGTGGACCAAAAACTAGTTCAAGGAAATCTCCCTCCGGCGGTACTGACGATTGTAGAGCAGATGCCGTAAGTACCCATCCTGTCTCGGGGGTCATGGCCTGTACAGGGTATTATAGGCAGGGGTAATGGCGTATTGTACACAGGGTCCATAACGTATTGTACGCCGATGTACAGGCGATACACGCCTCCTTTCTCACCTTTGTCATGTTCCCTTCTTATGATTATGTAACCAATATCGTAAAATTCAAGAAGTGAATTAAAGTCAAAGTAACCAAAACTTTCAGCCATTTTTTTGCGTTACTTTTATTATAAATGTTGTTTGCCCGGAGTGGGGGAGTAATTAGTTCTCGGAGAATACATCCACAGTTTCGCGGGAAATTGCTCCTTTTGGTCCAGAATAGATAGTTTACAGACCGCCGTCATATAACCGGAATTTAATCGGGGAGTTCGGCATGCAAAAAAAACAAACCCGCGCAATTATGTTGTTAAGCTAGTTTCTACATCCGGTCTTGTCGCACGGGTGGCCCAGTCGTCTAGGGCGCCGCGATTCGCTGTGCAGAGTTGCGTCCCTTGGGCACGCCAGAAACCTATGATTGAATCCCAGTTCGCCCCGATTATGTTTCTTGGTTTGTCAGCACCACGCCCGTGCTCGTGGGTTTCACCGAAGTGGTAAACGTCTGAGACCTGCATCACTTCGGGCTATCCTCCCACATTAAGCTTACACGCCGCGATATAACTGGAATACTGTTAAAAGCGGCGTTAAACCCAACTCACTCACTCACCATCCACGGTTATCTAACGGGGCATGTTATGAGAGGCACACAGATTATAGACAACATGAGGGTGGCTAATTCCCCCTGGTTGTCGGGTGCAGGGTGGATGGATGGGGACAGACGTGATTGTCTACCGATGGGATAATTGTGACGCATTCTTGGTGCGTCTGTCGTGTTTTTGCGAGACTGGTTTTAATGCGGCGTAGATGGATACTGAATTGTACAACCTGCCTCCCTTTAATTAATTAATTTCATATAATTCTATAATTTCAGGGGCTACATTGAATTTGCAGATGTGACTGACCTCTTAATTGTAAACACCTACTGGGCCAGCTATAACGTTCCGTAAGTTCCCTAAAATATGCGTCGTTTCCGTTTTTCAGACCGACCATAATCTGGTGCCACTGACCCGAAATCACCTATTGTGTTTCTCGAATCGCACAACGGCTTTTATCGCCCTTCTGGTATTCTCTGTGTTTGATTCCACTTGCGATGTTTTTGCGCTTCGCAGTGGCCATTTATAGAGTATTAGTGAGTGAGTGAGTATGGTTTTACGCCGCTTTTAGCAATATTCCAGCAATATCACGGCGGGGGACACCAGAAATGGGCTTCACACATTGTACCCATGTCGGGAATCGAACCCGGGTCTTCGGCGTGACGAGGTAACGCTTTAACCACTAGGCTACCTGACCGCCCCTATGGAGTATCAAAAAACAATACTGTGAAATGAATTTTGTTTGGACTGATGAACTGCTTTTCAACAGATATTTCCCAAAGATATTCCATGAATGTATAATTGTTTTGCGCTTCACTGCGGCCATTTTAAAAAAACATATCCGTCTTGTTGTAACCATATGTTTGTTGTAACTATTACGAAAAAAGTGAAATGAATTTTGTTTGGGCTAATAAAATACTTTTTGACAGATTTTTTCCGACGATATTCAACATTAGCGGCCAACAAAAGTTAGTGGACAAGTATGGGGACTACTTCTCCTACAACATGAGCCGCCGCGCTCAGATAATGTTCCAACAGGATTCCACGGTCCAGGACAGAAATACGCTGTTTAATTTCATGAGGTACGGCCTGTAATGCCCACTTTCAATACGACATACGAATATCCCGAATCACCCCGAATAGGATTTTTTTTCATGTTCGTTGATAAATCTCAATCCTTTCTTGAAGTTCTTAAATGAATCTTATTTGATTCCCAAACATTCGTACACTTCGCGGGAGTTCGTCGAATCGGCGAGAGAGGTTTTGTTTGTCAAACACTTTCGTGGTAGGGTCCCCGAATTGCGGTTTCGTGGCTGTATCGTAATCCATTCGTAATTAATACTTATGTTCCGTAACAGCTTCGTTATCGATTCTCTTGCATTATTGGTTATTCTTAGCGATTCGTGGCTCGCAAAATGTCTTGTCCTCAACCCGAAAACATCCCGAAACAGCCACGAATGTCCGGAGTCAACTACGAATCATGTAAGAATTAAGTAAGAACAACATTCGGCATATTCGTAACTTAGTCGCAGATGATTCTTACAATTCGTGCATGGTCCGTACATGAATCTTGTAATTCGTACATGTTTCTTAACCCATTCCTGGCATTCTTCATACTTTTCAACCCGATTAGCCACGAATGTTTGCATTATTGGCCGAATCATCACGAATTTCGAAAGTTTCCGATTCGGGATATTCATGGTCGTAGTGAAAGGGGGTGGGTGGGATGTTTCTGTTTCTGTCTCTCCCTGATGACCTCCTGTCGGACATTCCTTTCCTGCTTCTGAACCTTAGTATGGTTGTTTTGGAAACACACACACACACACACACACACACACACACACACACACACACACACACACACACACACACACACACACACACACACACACACACACACACCCCCCCCCCCAATCAGCTGTAAATGTGAGTGTATCTGGCGTATACCCACACCTATTCTCCCTGGGCTTTTGACTTCCCGTAACCTCTGTGTCATTCTAGGTGAAGACGGGTTAAAATTAAAAATAAAATGTTCCACATTTGCAGGTACAACGACTTCCAACACGACCCCCTATCTAAGTGCAACTGCACCCCTGGGTACAGCGCCGACCTCGCCATCGCAGCTCGCGACGACCTCAACGAGGAAAACGGAACCTACCTCTACGACGACCTCGCATACGCCATGGGCGGGGCTATAGACGTGAAGGTCAGATTCAGAATCACAGTATCAGGGTTCAACACAACCTCGATTATCCAGTGTATGACATTTCTATAATGACAGATACCTGAACTCCTGAACCTCATTACAGCTACGTTCTGAGCCTCATTCGGATGGCATGATGCTAAAAATAGCCATCCAATCAAATACTGAGCAAGAAAACTTTTAAGCTGAGATATTGCTGTGACGTCACTTCCGACACGAAACCATAGTGGCGAATGGGTTCAGGGAATGTGTCAAAATAGAATTGGGATATCATGCACTGGATAATCGAGGGTTGTTTCAAATGGGAATTGGTAGCTTTCACTTGCAGGGGGGTTTACGGCTGTGACCTCGTATCTACATGCTGCACTGCTGTTACGATGGAACAACACATGAGACTTCATTCTTCCGCACGGGGTAGGGTGGGGTAGCCTAGTGGTTAAAGCGTTGGCTCGTCACGCTGAAGACCCTCGTTCGATTCCCCACATGGGTACAATGTGTGAAGCCCATTTTTGGTGTCACCCCGCCTTGATATTGCAGGAATAATGCTAAAAGTGGCTTAAAACAATACTCCCTCACTCACCTCACTTTTCGGCACTATTTGTGCAGAGCAAGATTCTGATTTTGCGCCGGCATTCGCAATCTCTGTCCAAGTGCACATTGAAAACCATCAAAGATATTCTTTACCCCCGTAGTCTAGAAATACCGACTTTGGCCGAGTGTAAACTCGACTCGTTTTTTTCGGTTTCAAAACTTTTTAGCAAAATAGCATTTTGAATTTTAGAGTATAAAAAGAGGATAAAAAACTATTACTCTTAAGCCATGGACTAACTTACGTCGTGTTGGCTCGGATGTTGGTTTCGTCAGTCACGTAGGAGAGATGATGTGATGTGATGTTCAATTCAAGTGTACTATTCCAATATGACAAGATCACTCACTATCTATGTGACCCGTGAAGATCCGGGGTAGAATAGGTCTTCAGCAACCCATGCTTGCCGTAAAAGGCGACTATGCTTGTCGTAACAGGCGACTAACGGGATCGGGTCGTCAGGCTCGCTGACTTGGTTTATGCATGTCATCCATCCCAATTGCATGGATCGATGCTCATGATATCAATCAGTGGATTGTCTGGTCCAGACTCGATTATCTACAGACCGCCGTCATATAGCTGGAATATTGCTGAGTGCGGCGTTGAACAACAAACCAACAACAACAACAACAAACTATCTATGTAGCCACGTGTGTTCGACTTTAAGGGCTGGGTGTACATTCTATTTCCCATCCTGTCACAGATTGTAGCGACGGGGGAGATGCAGTGGCTGTTGTTTTATGCCGTCTCGGGGCCAACGTCTTTCCAGCAACCGCCGTTCCAGTGGTCAAAGGTCAAGGACGCCAAAAAGTACCCTCACTTCGGACAACCAGACTTATTCAACTTTAAACCCGTGTCATTTAATGGAACAGCTGTACCACCTTCCACGCCGTCTTGGTACAAAGAAACATGACGTACAGTGAAACCTCGTTAATCTGGACGGTACATGACAAACAGTGAAACCTCGTTAATCCGGACGGTACCATTCAATGAAATAGCCCGGATTGTCAAAAGTCCAGATTAACAAATCAGGACAATATTCCTTTAAATGTTTACAGATGTCCCTGATACGACAGGTGTGTGGATTATCGAGGTATCACTTTATACATGTGTCGAAACAAGTTTCATGTTTCGGATACTTTCAAGCTCAAGTTTTTAAATCTTATGTTATGCATCGTATCAGCAATCAATATTCTACCACGACACTGGAGATTTCTTGACTATGATTGGTCAAAAGAAGATTAAAATCAGGTCAAAATCCATTAGATTAACATGATTTTTCACACAAAAAACTATTGTACGAAACCATCGATAAATAGCCTACACATCGATGCATATAAAATGGATGTTACTACCTGTGGTCCCTTTTCGGCACGTCCAAAGATAGTTGGTCTATTTGATCGTGTGTACGTACGCTTACAAGAGAATACATTCTTTGCGCTCGTGTCGTCACGCTTGAATGGATATACTTATCTTTTATACATTAAATACCTCGCGCTAAAGTTTTCGGTTCCAAATTAAAATAAGAGATATGGAGTCGACCTCACTGTCCCGAACAGTAGGTTAAGCTCCTAATTTGAGAAATCATTCTTTTTAAGGATTGGTTTTTCCTTTTGTTTTGGCTACAGGTACCTAGACTGGAGCAGTCTCCATTATATTATAATAATATGTTTTGTTTGTTTGTCTACAAGACGGCGGTCTGTAAATAATCGAGGACCAGACAACCCAGTGATTTACATCATGAGCATCGATCCATACAATATGGATACGATGACATCAATCAAGTCAGCGAGGCTGACCACCCGATCCCGTTAGTTGCCTCTGTAATACATATAAGAGATCATATATGGATATAAAGAAGCAATTTTGAAATATTGGTTACGGAAAGTTGTGAATGTGCATATACACGTAGGAAACTGTCGAGTGGTCGAATAGGCTTCACGGTACCAGTGTAGACGCTGTAAATTGTCTCTCGTTGAACTGGGATACTGTCTATTGGATGCAGAGAATGCATTACGTGGAATATATGGCAATTTATCATCCAAAACTGGCTCCCACAGGAGGTATCGCTTGGGTGAGATCAAGCGATATCTACACTGTAGATATCGCTGCAATGAAATTGCATCACAATGCTTTGCAGACCATTGTGACGTCATTGGTTACCATGATGTCACAAACAAATGACATCACTAATGGCTTTGCTACTGGAGCTGTTAGCAGTACTTTTTACACTTAAAGGGGAAGTGTACACGCAAAAGTTACTTTCTTTCTTTTTCTAAACAAAACGCAATTTTAGAATTAGTTAGTATCTGTGTTTGAAAATATACACTCATTTTTTCACAGTGAAAGTAGGAAGCTCACAATAGTGTGAAAATGATATGCCGTTATGAGGCCTTCGTTTTTCGAGCTAAACAGGCCTGAGTTATCCCCCTTAGATTATGACGTAATTGGTGCCAATTCAACTGGGTCCCTGTCTATTCTCAACGCAAAAGATATCAAGTACCAGTTTGCGGTAAAACAACATGGCCTACGACACACTCCGGCGCAGTGGTGACTCAGCATAACACTATGCTAGCTGGCATCTGAGACGCAAGAATCACACAACTGTACCTACACCACGTGAAGCGGCTCTAACAAAGCATGATGACGTCATAATGTTTATCAATTGGCACCAATGACGTCATATTGCAAGGGGCATAAGCCATGGTGTTTTTGTTATGGAAATAGAACACTTGGTAAATGTGAAAAATATAAATCGTTTTAATGCAAAAAATATGTTTATTAAATATGATGTTTTTATATTTTTGTCTATGACACTTCTATGTTAACACTTTTAATGTGGAAAAAGTACAAGAAATACAGGTTCATTTCCGTGTGAACTTGCCCTTTAAGACACTGCTTATTACTGTCTACAAACTGAAGAGGTTTGCAGAATGATGTTGGATGATAAATAAAATCTCACCCATGTGTCTTTTGATATCAAATATATCAACACTCGTTGATAAAAGTGGAAAAAATCCTCGGCAAGCCTCGGAGTCATCCCACTTTTATCAACTCGTGTTGATATATTTGATATCAAAAGACACTCGGGTGAGATTCTATATATATTTTTTTAACCAATTCAACATTGGGATGTAAGAGTAACCGTTGATGTGTAATCATCTGTGTATGAAATATGCATGTTGTCCAATCATAGGCTTTATGTGACCAGACAATGTGATTATTTCATTTTGTTTTATACGTAATTGAAATCTCACAATAAAACTATTTTCTCAAAATTTGAAGTTTGTTCACAACTGAAGTTATCCATTACATTTCTGTAATCGGATTTGTCATAGACGTTGTATTGGAAAATTAAAAGCTCTGAATTGCCTTGGGTCGGGATCTTGTATGAAGTGGTGATGTGATGCAACCTTCTCACAGGGGGCTCAGTCCTAAACGCTGCTGCAATTTGTTGTGCAGAGTTGTGTCCCTTAGGCACTTCAGGCTAACTATGATCCTTGGTTTGTCAGCCCCATTACCTTGATGGGTTTCACCAAAGTAATAAACTTTGAGACCTGCAGCAACTTCAGTCTTTCCTCCCACGTGATGCAGACACAGGGTGCAAAATGGAATAGTGTTTAAAGCGATGTAAACCCATTTCACCCAATCCTGCACCTGAATCCCTTCAAGGAGACACGCATGAGGTACTATGTGCCTGCACCACAATCCCTTCAAGGGGACACGCATGAGGTACTGTGGGCCTGCATCAGAATTCCATCAAGGAGACACGCATGAGGTACTGTGGACCTGCAACTGAATCCCTTCAAGGAGACACGCATAAGGTACTGTGGGCCTGCATCAGAATTCCTTCAAGGAGACACGCATGAGGTACTGTGGGCCTGCACCAGAATTCCATCAAGGAGACACGCATAAGGTACTGTGGGCCTGCATCAGAATTCCTTCAAGGAGACACGCATGAGGTACTGTCGACCTGCAACTGAATTCCTTCAAGGAGACACGCATGAGGTACTGTGGACCTGCAACTGAATCCCTTCAAGGAGACACGCATGAGGTTCTGTGGGCCTGCACCAGAATTCCATCAAGGAGACACGCATAAGGTACTGTGGGCCTGCATCAGAATTCCTTCAAGGAGACACGCATGAGGTACTGCGGGCCTGCACCACAATCCCTTCAAGGAGACACGCATGTGGTACTGTGGGCCTGCATCAGAATTCCATCAAGGAGACACGCATGAGGTACTGTGGACCTGCATCAGAATTCCATCAAGGAGACACGCATGAGGTACTGTGGACCTGCATCAGAATTCCATCAAGGAGACACGCATGAGGTACTGTGGACCTGCATCAGAATTCCTTCAAGGAGACACGCATGAGGTACTGTGGACCTGCATCAGAATTCCATCAAGGAGACACGCATGAGGTACTGTGGACCTGCATCAGAATTCCTTCAAGGAGACACGCATGAGGTACTGTGGACCTGCATTAGAATTCCTTCAAGGAGACACGCATGAGGTACTGTGGGCCTGCATCAGAATTCCATCAAGGAGACACGCATGAGGTACTGTGGGCCTGCATCAGAATTCCATCAAGGAGACACGCATGAGGTACTGTGGACCTGCATCAGAATTCCATCAAGGAGACACGCATGAGGTACTGTGGGCCTGCATCAGAATTCCTTCAAGGAGACACGCATGAGGTACTGTGGACCTGCATCAGAATTCCTTCAAGGAGACACGCATGAGGTACTGTGAGCCTGCATCAGAATTCCATCAAGGAGACACACATGATGTACTGTGGACCTGCAACTGAATCCCTTCAAGGAGACACGCATGAGGTACTGTGGACCTGCATCAGAATCCCCAAAAGGAGACACGCATAAGGTACTGTGGGCCTGCATCAGAATTATTTCAAGGAGACACGCATAAGGTACTGTGGACCTGCATCAGAATCCCCAAAAGGAGACACGCATAAGGTACTGTGGGCCTGCATCAGAATTCCATCAAGGAGACACGCATGAGGTACTGTGGGCCTGCATCAGAATTCCTTCAAGGAGACACGCATGAGGTACTGTGAACCTGCATCAGAATTCCATCAAGGAGACACGCATGAGGTACTGTGGACCTGCATCAGAATTCCTTCAAGGAGACACGCATGAGGTACTGTGGGCCTGCATCAGAATTCCATCAAGGAGACACGCATGAGGTACTGTGGACCTGCATCAGAATTCCTTCAAGGAGACACGCATAAGGTACTGTGGACCTGCATCAGAATTCCTTCAAGGAGACACGCATGAGGTACTGTGGGCCTGCATCAGAATTCCATCAAGGAGACACGCATGAGGTACTGTGGACCTGCATCAGAATTCCTTCAAGGAGACACGCATGAGGTACTGTGGGCGTGCATCAGAATTCCATCAAGGAGACACGCATGAGGTACTGTGGACCTGCATCAGAATTCCTTCAAGGAGACACGCATAAGGTACTGTGGACCTGCATCAGAATTCCTTCAAGGAGACACGCATGAGGTACTGTGGGCCTGCATCAGAATTCCATCAAGGAGACACGCATGAGGTACTGTGGACCTGCATCAGAATTCCTTCAAGGAGACACGCATGAGGTACTGTGGGCCTGCATCAGAATTATTTCAAGGAGACACGCATGAGGTACTGTGGACCTGCATCAGAATTCCTTCAAGGAGACACGCATGAGGTACTGTGGGCCTGCATCAGAATTCCTTCAAGCAGACACGCATGAGGTACTGTGGGCCTGCATCAGAATTCCATCAAGGAGACACGCATGAGGTACTGTGGACCTGCAACTGAATTCCTTCAAGGAGACACGCATGAGGTACTGTGGGCCTGCATCAGAATTCCTTCAAGGAGACACGCATGAGGTACTGTGGACCTGCATCAGAATCCCCAAAAGGAGACACGCATGAGGTACTGTGGACCTGTAACTGAATCCCTTCAAGGAGACACGCATAAGGTACTGTGGACCTGCATCAGAATTCCATCAAGGAGACACGCATGAGGTACTGTGGACCTGCATCAGAATTCCATCAAGGAGACACGCATGAGGTACTGTGGACCTGCATCAGAATTCCTTCAAGGAGACACGCATGAGGTACTGTGGACCTGCATCAGAATTCCATCAAGGAGACACGCATGAGGTACTGTGGACCTGCATCAGAATTCCATCAAGGAGACACGCATGAGGTACTGTGGGCCTGCACCAGAATTCCATCAAGGAGACACGCATAAGGTACTGTGGGCCTGCATCAGAATTCCTTCAAGGAGACACGCATGAGGTACTGTGGACCTGCATCAGAATTCCATCAAGGAGACACGCATGAGGTACTGTGGACCTGCATCAGAATTCCTTCAAGGAGACACGCATGAGGTACTGTGGACCTGCATTAGAATTCCTTCAAGGAGACACGCATGAGGTACTGTGGGCCTGCATCAGAATTCCATCAAGGAGACACGCATGAGGTACTGTGGGCCTGCATCAGAATTCCATCAAGGAGACACGCATGAGGTACTGTGGACCTGCATCAGAATTCCATCAAGGAGACACGCATGAGGTACTGTGGGCCTGCATCAGAATTCCTTCAAGGAGACACGCATGAGGTACTGTGGACCTGCATCAGAATTCCTTCAAGGAGACACGCATGAGGTACTGTGAGCCTGCATCAGAATTCCATCAAGGAGACACACATGATGTACTGTGGACCTGCAACTGAATCCCTTCAAGGAGACACGCATGAGGTACTGTGGACCTGCATCAGAATCCCCAAAAGGAGACACGCATAAGGTACTGTGGGCCTGCATCAGAATTATTTCAAGGAGACACGCATAAGGTACTGTGGACCTGCATCAGAATCCCCAAAAGGAGACACGCATAAGGTACTGTGGGCCTGCATCAGAATTCCATCAAGGAGACACGCATGAGGTACTGTGGGCCTGCATCAGAATTCCTTCAAGGAGACACGCATGAGGTACTGTGGACCTGCATCAGAATTCCATCAAGGAGACACGCATGAGGTACTGTGGACCTGCATCAGAATTCCTTCAAGGAGACACGCATGAGGTACTGTGGGCCTGCATCAGAATTCCATCAAGGAGACACGCATGAGGTACTGTGGACCTGCAT